CTTACTTATTATGAATTAAAAGCATATCTCCAAAAATATGATGAAAATATAACGGGTGATGATATGGATTATTATTATTCATATTATAAAAATGAAATTTTGAAATATCATGATAAAATAATTTCTAAAATTAAAGACAAAATTAAAAATAATGAATATACAAAGGGAAAAACTAAATCACAACTTAAACAATTGAAAGATTTCAAAAATAAAGTATTAACAGAAGAAGATATTGATGAATTATATAAATTATATAATCCTGAGCTGCAAAAAACAAAGGAACAAAAGCTAAAAGTGCAAAACGCCCAGGTCATTCAGACCATAAATGAAGCACAAGCTTTAATTTATGATTCATTAGTTAAACCACATTCAGCCCGACTTTTAAATGAAGATCAACTTTTGGAATTCATCCTTCAACATAAACTCGAAGCGGGAAAGTATATCAAACCTTTATATACAGCATATTTAAAACAAATGAATAGAATACATCCAGAATTAATGAAAGGAGGAATGAATTCCAAAACTTCATCATCCAAAATCAAAGCAGATAAAATTAAACCACTTGCAACACCAAAACCTCCAACAGTAGTACCTCCTCCTCCTTCAGTTAATCCTTCATCATTCACTTTATTATATCCATTTCAAACATTAAAGAAGCAAAAAGATTTTAAAAAGGATTTCAAGATATTAAATAAACCAATTGACCCAAAAATTCAACCGTTAAAGGAAAAATTTGGTCGCCCTTCATTTGCACCATATTCATATTCATACGAAATCGATCATTTAGAATATTCAAAAGGAAACGTTACTTATTTATTTGTCATTAACATTAACACTAGATATTTATATTGCATTCCGGTGAAAGGGAAAACAGAACAGGAAACAAGAAGAGCTATTCAATACTTACTAGATCATGAAAGAGTAGATAATATCAGGGGTGATGGTGATAAAGGATTTCAGGCAGCTATGGCTCATTATTTCCCACAAATTAATTTTTACGTTTCATCCTCTCCATATACGTTTCATAATAAAATAGTTGATGCAGTAATGAGAACTCTTAGAGATGCGTTAGGGGTTAACGGTCAGATATACTGGGATGGAAATCATGACTCCATCATACAGCAGTTAGTATATTATTACAATAATACATGGCATAGAACTATAAACATGAAACCGGTGGAAATGAAAAATGATATTTCAAAAGAATGGGAATATATTAGAAAGCAAATGGAAAGGTTAAATGATGTTAAACGTGAACAAATTAATTCGGGGCTCATGAATTTTAAACAAGGGGATAAAGTTTTGATTCATCTCGATTATGGAAAAACCGATAAATCAATGACAAAAAGAAGACGAAGATTTGACACAATAGCTGAATTTGTTAGATATATAGGGTGTCCAAAGGTGCGTTTAGCACAGCGCTCTATATGAGACTATTAAAGGAGATATATGCTGATTATAAATATATAATAAAAAATATGAATATATGTATATGATGAGTATGTTGTATTTTGGCGCCATGCCGGGATATAAAATGAATTTTGAGACAAGAGGCGGTTTCGCGGGAAATTTTGGCGGGATTTTTTTTCATTTTTTAATGAATCATAAAGAAAACATCCTCGCTCTTGCAAAAAAATGCAAAGACTGTAAAAAAATCTACGGACATTGGTAAAATGCTTCTGTATGGATGCTCCTAGCTATTCCACTGTAACGTATCATGTTAGGAATGTATCACTTCATGAACAAAAAGCGCCCATCATAAAAATTGACAAAAAATCGCCGGATCAAAGAAAAATCAAAGCAATTCTTCAAGCGCTAGATGAAGACCAAGAGCATCACTCAGAAGGATAAGGAGATGACAAAGATACCACGTACAACAGTCAGTTATTATCTGCACAATTATTTGAACTACAAACTAGCGTATACACGTTGGGTTCCGCACAACCTTAATTCAGTTCAAAAAAAATCTAGAGTCCAATCTTCGAAAGAGCTCCTCTCTATATTGGGTGCGTATCAATCCAAGAAGTTTCGCTTTTTAGTAACAGGGGACGAGTCTTGGTTTCAATATGCAACAGAAGTCAAAATCATGTGGATCCGAAGGATGAAAATCCGCAAACATTCCCGAAGAAAAAAATTGACACACCAATGATGATGTTGTCGGTTTTTTGGGGCGTGAATGGCATCATCGCAATTGATATTCTTCAAAAACCTAATACGATGAATGCTCAGTATCTAATTGACAATGTTCTTACTCAAATTATCAATTCTGATGAGTTTGAGAAATCCAAACAACAAAAACAAAAGTTTGCAATTCATTTTGATAATTCAAGAGTTCACAAAAGTCATAAGGTAATGAATTACTTGTTGGAAAACAATGTCAAAGTTGTTCCAAACCCAATTTATTCACCTGATATTGCACCCTCTGACTTTTATTTATTCGGCACGCTAAAAAAGAGAGCTGAAGGACGCGAATTCGCGAGTCCAGATGATCTTGAAAATTTTGTAAGAGAGCAATTTGAGCAATTTTCTCATGATGATTTAAAGCGTGTCTTTGAAGCCTGGATCGATCGCTGCGAACGCGTGATTGAATCCAATGGTGATTATATTTAAATAAACTTTATATATATGTAACTTGTTTATTTCTATTCGCAGTATTCAGGTTTGTGCTAAACACACCTTTGGACACCCTATATTAACGGTAATGTATTAGTTGAAGTTGACAATAAATTAATAGAAATTCCGATTTATTTTATTACTCCATTATATTTAAATAATATTTAATTTTTTTATTTCGTAAGAAATGAGTGACAACGAAGCAGCCAAGAGTCCAGACGATGAATATAAAAAGAAACTAAACAGAATTAAATCAAAAATATGCTATTACAAAAAGAAGCCACAATGTGGTGGGGTTGAAAACGATAAAGAGAGGAAAGAAATAATCGAAAAATTAAAAACTTACCGTTCAATCCTTAAACTGTGTGAAGCGAAAATAAAAGAATTTAATAGAATAAATAAATTGATTGGAAGAGATGAATTTAATAAAGATGAATTTTTAAACTCAATCCAAATTTAATTTTTATTCCTCATCTTCTCTGTTTTTCGTGGTTTGTTGTTTTTAATTTTTCGATTATTTCTTTCCTCTCTTGTTATGATTCGTGGTAAATTTTGAGCTTGTGGGGTATTCATTTATATAAAAATAAAATTTTGTTATCAGTTATTTTATCGTTAATGGTTTCAGGTTATTCAATAATTCATTATTTTTGAATAACTGATGAGGTCACCGGGTCACCAGGTCACCAGGTAATTTAACTTCTCTGAAAAAATGTGACAACATGACATTTTGACAACAGGTATGAAAGGAGGATGGTATTTATTAATTATTTTTGAATAACTGATGAGGTCACCGGGTCACCAGGTCACCAGGTAATTTAACTTCTCTGAAAAAATGTGACAACATGACATTTTGACAACAGGTATGAAAGGAGGATGGTATTTATTAATTATTTTTGAATAACTGATGAGGTCACCGGGTCACCAGGTCACCAGGTAATTTAACTTCTCTGAAAAAATGTGACAACATGACATTTTGACAACAGGTATGAAAGGAGGATGGTATTTATTAATTATTTTTGAATAACTGATGAGGTCACCGGGTCACCAGGTCACCAGGTAATTTAACTTCTCTGAAAAAATGTGACAACATGACATTTTGACAACAGGTATGAAAGGAGGATGGTATTTATTAATTATTTTTGAATAACTGATGAGGTCACCGGGTCACCAGGTCACCAGGTAATTTAACTTCTCTGAAAAAATGTGACAACATGACATTTTGACAACAGGTATGAAAGGAGGATGGTATTTATTAATTATTTTTGAATAACTGATGAGGTCACCGGGTCACCAGGTCACCAGGTAATTTAACTTCTCTGAAAAAATGTGACAACATGACATTTTGACAACAGGTATGGAAATATGATGCAGTCCAAAAATAAAGTTAGTTTTAAAATTATTTTTATTTTTTTATTCCTATATAAATGACAGCAACAAACAACAACAGCAACTATATCGTTTCTGATGAAAAAGTTATTGATTCATTAGTTGAGGAATTAGTTGATTCATTAGTTGATGAAAAAGTTATTGATTCATTAGTTGATGAAAAAGTTATTGATTCATTAGTTGAGGAATTAGTTATGGCAGAAACTAAAACCCTCAACGAAAGAATTGGTGAAAACAAGATTGATTTACATAACTACCTCAAATACGATGGAGGAAGAGGAAGGAAAACTGGTATGGCTTTATTAGTAAATAAAATATCAAATTTAACGATTATAGATGTTGATATCAATAAATCGTACAATGATGAACTTAAAGAAACGGTTAGAAAAGACATTTTATCAAAACTTTCGGATAAAGATGTTATCGTTAAAACCGCTTCAGGAGGTCTTCACATTTATTGCAACACTAATTTCTTCTATGCAGTTTCGAACAGAATGATTAAATGTTATTCCTGCAATGATTATGATATTGATATAATGACTTCTATTGATGATTCAAAGCGTTCTTTAGTGGTTATGGCTGATTCAAGAGTTCGCAAGAATGCAACAGAACCAATCAATACATACTCATTCATTCGTGGAAGTTATGATTCAACATTAACTAGAACAGTGAATGATATATTAAATGATTTGAATATTAAGGTAAGAGTTGAACAGAAGAACGAAGAAATAAAGACCATCATGAATGAAAACAAAGATGTAAACATTGACGATAAACTTGCCCAGAGCATAGTTGATGGCATCTGTGATTTTGAAGTACATAATGACGGTGGAAACATGAATTTAGAAAAAGAAATAACATTATTTACACTGTTTCAAGCTATTAATTCGTTACCTAATCATTTGATTAATGAAGCATACGATAACGTTTATAACTTCTGCAGTTTAACAGAAAATGCAAAAAGTAATTTTGAAAAAGCACGTAGTAGATATGCACATTTAATGACTTCTCCATTTGTTTTGGTGAAGATTCTAAAACTATATCAAAAGGAATATTATGATGAATATGTTTTGCCTTTATTACGTAAGCCAAAAATAACATTCGATATCAAACTTGATGACTCGTTTTTGATAACAGATATTAGACGCAAGGCTGAAAATCATCAGTATAAAAACAGTTCTGAAGTAATTGAGGATTTATCACGTGTAATCCGTTTTGTAGATTGTGGAAACAAATATTTCATTCAAAAGGACTATAATATCCACGACAAAATGAATCAAATATCATTCGTTCTTCAATCAAACATGAAAGAGTCACTCAAAATGATTAAATTATTTAAAGAAGAAGGTAAAACAATAACAGCATGGGACGTACTACTAAATCAATTGTCTACATTAACCGTTAAGGGTGTTTGCTTTAAATCTGATTCCCCAGATGTTTTCTCAACGTTTCAGGGTTATAAATACAACATTCTCGAAAAGCTTGATTACTCAAAAATTGAGATGTTTATGAATTTCATTAAAGAAGTCGTTTGTGATAATAACGATGAAGTGTATAAATACCTTCTCGGCTGGATTGCATCAATGATTCAACATCCAGGAATCAAGAATGAAACAGCAATTATTTTGAAAGGACTTCAAGGAACAGGTAAAAACAGATTTACAGATATTATTTCTGAACTTCTCGCTGGTTATTCATGCAAAAACATTACTGAAATAGGTGAGCTAACGGGTAATTTCAACTCAGTAGTTGAGAATAAAATGTTTCTTGTACTTAATGAACTCAAGAATGTAGGTGAAGACAGACTCGCAAACTTCAACGCTTTGAAATCAATTATAACGGATAATGAGATTAGAATTAATGAAAAGAATCAACCCAGAAGAACTGCTCAGAACGTTGCAAACTTCATTTTCGTAACTAATAACGTTTACCCTGTCAAAATTGAAGTTGGAGACAGAAGATATGTAGTTTTAAGAGTTAATGGTAAATTTAAGGGTCAATTTGATTACTTCAAGAATTTGATGAATTCATGCACTAAGGAATTTTATGATAATTTACTGACATATTTTATGCAATATGACCTTTCATCATTTAATGTACGAATCATTCCGATGACTGAAGCCAAACAAGATTTAATTGAATTATCAACAAATCCTTTAGATGTATGGATAAATACACATTATGATGAATTGTGTGTAGGTATGACGTGTAAAAATGCTCTATTCTGCAAACCATCAGACATGAAAGACAAGAATTTCCAAATGAGTATTAAGGATAAATGTGAAAGGAAACAAAGAAAAATAGATGGTAAACAGACATGGTGTTATGTTTTGAAAGAAGAAATGAAAGGATTATATAAACAGGTTGAACCAAACGATAATGAGGATTCATTTACTGACGATGAAATACCTGTAAATGAAGCTTTATAAAGTATGATTTGAATTTATTTTTACATTAATCATGACTGTTGTCAAAATGTCATGTTGTCACATTTTTTCAGAGAAGTTAAATTACCTGGTGACCTGGTGACCCGGTGACCTCATCAGTTATTCAAAAATAATTAATAAATACCATCCTCCTTTCATACCTGTTGTCAAAATGTCATGTTGTCACATTTTTTCAGAGAAGTTAAATTACCTGGTGACCTGGTGACCCGGTGACCTCATCAGTTATTCAAAAATAATTAATAAATACCATCCTCCTTTCATACCTGTTGTCAAAATGTCATGTTGTCACATTTTTTCAGAGAAGTTAAATTACCTGGTGACCTGGTGACCCGGTGACCTCATCAGTTATTCAAAAATAATGAATTATTGAATAACCTGAAACCATTAACGTAAACATTAACGATATAAATTTATTTCCATGACTGTTGTCAAAATGTCATGTTGTCACATTTTTTCAGAGAAGTTAAATTACCTGGTAGCAGTGAAATAAAATTTTGTTATCAGTTATTTTATCATCGTTTTATTAAGTTCATCTTTAGTTAATAATTTGAATGGATTCGCTAATGTTCCACCTTGAGTCACAACACTTACCCTGGCTAATTGTGAAGAACCTGGGATAAGTACTCCACGAAATGATTTCATTGGTATCATTAATTTAGAAATAGTTGGCTTAATTAATTTTGTCATTTATGATAAAAATAAAATTGCATAATTTAAATTTTTCTTTCTCATTTTCTCATTTTTCATCCTGTTTTAGTTTCAGCAACTTTTCAAGTTGTTGTCTTGTCAGTAACTTTAATTTTAACTTTGGATCAAATATTGGGTTTCCATCTTTATCTCTTCCAATAACACCATATGGTAGAATCTTCATTTATACTAAAATAAAAATTTAAATTATGCTGTTTGCTCTTTTGAAGCTCAGGACTTTCAGTCCGTTCTAAAGTTTGTTTTACAAACATTGAGCGTTCATTGAACTCTATACCATGCGTAAACTGTCATGTAAAGGTGGCATGTATTCTTTACTTTGTCCCGTTGTTTGTGTATATCCTGAAACGAAATGTGTATGGTTTCCTTCTCCCTGAGTGTCACTCCAGTAACAATTTATAGCAAACTTAACGTCGTCTTTAACATCATATCCTTTACCTTTTGTCATTCCTGACCAATCACAATATCTATGCTTATGCCAACCTGCCTGAGATGTACTTAAATCTATGTAGTGACTGTGTGCAGGTAAATTTTCACCTGAAATCGTTTTACTTCCACCTGTTTCCTTTGAAGAGTTTGCACAATACAAAAACCTGTCTACAATCTGTTCCCATGCACCAACACCAAACATTACTTGAGGACCTCTTGCATCCATAGATGTATAAATAGAACCTACTGGGTTCATTAAATCAAACATATGAGATAATATAGGATTGTCTATTTTGAACTTAAAATATAGTGCAACTATTTCAGGTTTCTTCTGGTTTGTGTCAGAATATTTTTTATAATATAATCTTATGTTTTCAGGGTAGGTAAAATCTTGACTATAATATTTATTTTTGTCATCTGTATAATAATATACTATTCTCGTTTTTTCTATTGCATTATATCTTTTATATCTATAATAATCTAAATATAATGTTAGCTTTTGTTCATCTACATGTGGTGTTCTGTCGTCATCTCCATAGTCATAATAATATGGTGCTGGAGCTGGGTGAGGCAATGTCATATCTGTCATTTCATAAACTCTTAAATATTTCTTTTGTTCGTCTCCATATAAGTTTAAGTAGCAGTTGTTGTCTAATGGAACTTTAACTTGTGTACCATTATTCTTTATATAGCTTACATACATTTCATTGTTATTTTTCGGAATGAGTTTACACCGTGCACCATTTTTTAAGGACTGTACCAATTGCCATCTAAAATATTTATTTTCTTCATTGACAGAAAAGTCACCAACAATAGTTTCAATATTTTTAGTTGTTCCTATCAAACTTTGGTATATTTCGTTGACATATTCATTATCTGCCTTCTTCTCTAACTCACCATTAACATAAGTTTTATCTGCTTTAAGGTCTAAACATCCTGAAACCCATCCTGTATCAGCTTTAGTTTTTAAAATCTTTGATGTCCATTCATGATACCATTCAACCCTTTCTTTAATTTCATTATCTTTTTCATCAACATAAACCAAATTTGCCTTCTTCATTAATTCACTGTTGACATATTCATTATCTGCCTTCTTCATTATGTCATTAAGGAAACCTTTTATGAATTCCTCATTTAAATTAAATCTTCCAATCTTCAAAACTTTAGGAAATGCATTTAATGCGTAATATCTTTGTTCTTCTGGTGGAATTGATGTTATATCATCCGTTATACCTTTAATTTTTGAATTCATAAATAAAATTTCTTTTATATTTGATATCACTGCACCACCTTTGCAAACGAATTCGAAATGGTCATTTTTCAATACTATCTCCAAATCTCCATATTTCAACCTTTGTGTTTGTTCTGCTGTCTTTGAATTATATGCATATATGGCGTATGTAATGGTCTGAAGGACCTGGGTGCTTTGCGCCTTAAGTTGCTGTGGTTGCTGTTGTTTAATCATTTATTATGATTTAAAAATAAATATTTAATCCGTTATCTCATCAGCTATTTTTTCTATTTGAAATTGCCATAATATTTCATTCATAAATTCTAAATCACAATCAAATAGGTCAGTTATTCTAAATTTAATATTTGATAAATCTTTTGAATGAAGAATAAATGAATTCCCGGATAATTGAAACGGATATGATAAAGAAAATGTGTTTAAGTTGATGGATAAAATGTTTTGTATTGATGGGTAAGAGTTAGGGTCTAATGTTTGATGTGAAAATCTCATTGGGGTATTAACTTTATCACATTTGATTAAAATGAAATTGGAACCAGTGTCAGAATACAAAACATCCCCAACATCTTTTTCAAAATTTAATATCCCCAACAATGAACGAAGATGAGGAGTACAAAATTTAATTTTCAGCGGGAATTTAATAAGGTTATTTATTTCATCAAGTTCAAAAAGTTTATCAGGTTTTGATTTAAAATTTTCTTCATACCATACGATAAATGATTCATTTAAATAACTTAAAATCGTGTTAATATCCCATTTCGCTATCACATTATTTATATACATATCATACGTTTTTTCATGGTCATCTTTAATAAATGATATATAATCTGAAGGGTCTAAAAGAATGGGATTAAATTTACCACTCACAGAAACGAGAGTAACATTATAAATTCCACTAACTGTTAAATTTAATTCACAGTTATTATTCGAAATAATATTGATAATTGACATTTTTATTACGATTAAAAATATGGTAAAGCGTTATTTTCCAGTGATAAATAAAACTAGAATAAGATTACCTCAAGAATTCATAAATTCAACGAATAAGAAATTCATTCATGTTATAAATTTTAGTGTTTTCAGAAAATATGAGTCGATGTCATATTCATCAACAGGTTATATTTCACTTCATTCAAATTTAGTTCAATCAAACCCATATAATGACCATTTCATAAGATTTTCAGATGGTATTAAAAATGTAATTGATAGATTAAAATATGAACAGATTGACAATATCGAATTTTTGGAATTTTGGTTTAAATATCCTGATGGAAAAAAGATTGAAGTTAAAGATAAAGCTGATACTATAACAAAAACAATTACAATGACCGATCCGGATAGTGGGGAACAAAAAGAAATAAAACAAACGATAGAAACTGGTGAAAGGTCAATTATTATTGATTATGATTCAAAGGATTATTATTCGATAATGTTAATGCTTGAATATTAAATAGCCTTAACAAAGAATTTTTCAAGTGATATTTTATATTCATCAACTATTTTATTATAAATATCATTATATGTTAAATGAAGTTCAGTTGTTGTTCCGTTCTTTGATATCTTAATTGTGCTAATATCCTTTATAGGATTTATTTTTGCAACTGTTCCGCAGCATGAAACCTCATCATCTATGAAAAATTGAATCTTAACGTCTGAATCTTGAACATCACAAAGAATGGCGATAATGTGAATTAATGATTCATAAGGTAAAATAATTAAACCGGATTGGTCAATTAAATTTATTATTGAATCATAATTATTAATTATTATATCACGGTAAATTTTCATTAATTCAGAATTAATGTCTATTTTATATGGGTTCTCGATGTTTGATGAAAGAGGTGGGGGTATGTTGGATAAGTGGGAATTTCAACAGGTTCTTTACCAGGTTCAGATAAAATGATTGGGTCTCCATTCTCATGGTTTTTTCATTCTCCTCCTCCTTTTTCGGTAAGTCACGAGTTAATAAATTTGGTTGAGTTGCTGACCTTGTTAATTCAGGGCTAACATTAACTTTAACATTTTGAATAATTCGTGATTTATCATCATTTACGTTATAACCAACCGTAATCTCTGCTTTTGCGTTAGTGTTCTTTTGACTAGTGAAACGTCTTCTCATTTATATTCGAATAAAAAAAATATATTTAAACTTTTATTTTGCTGGAACTTTTGAATCTATTATTCCCTGTATTTGTTCATGAAGTTGATTTTTAGCTGTTTCATCGAAATTAATAGACCGAATATATTCATTAATTGCATTCTTATAATCATCTGATTTCTCAAATTTTCTTTTATCTGATTCCTTAACTAAATCATAAGTTAAACCTCGTTGCTGATATAATGGTTTCTTAATTAAATCTTTGAATGCTTGAGATAAAGCACCTGATGCAATTCTTGCTACTATAATTGGTTGGAATTGCTGTTTAAGTTCATCTTTAACATTTGCGAAAACTGGATCGAATAAAGCAACTTTAAAGAATTTCTTAGCTGAAATTTCAGGTCTAATATTTGCATATTGACCATCAAACTGGTTAGAATATCGTGGTAATCCATCCGGTCCCTCTTCAATAGCATTTAATTCTTCATTGAAATAAGAATATGGATTATGACGGTATGAATTAATTGGACCATTTTCACCTTCTCCAATGTATTGTTTAACAGCTTTTCCATTTTCATCAAATTGCATAGGATAACGTTCATTATATGCTTTACGTTTAGGATAATCAGATATAGTTAATTTATAACCATTTATGACTTTAATATTACCTTGACCATCAGTAACGAAAACTTCATTTATACCATCAGGTTTTCCATTTGGACCCGTAATGTCTGCTTCGTGTGCTTCCCAATTTGGACCATGACGTTTGGCATATGCTTGAGCTTCTGGTAATGTTAAAACGTTTCTCATTTGTTTAACATCTTTTTGAAGACCAGCAACAATATGAACTAATTCTTTCATTCCATCGGAACTTTCATAGTTCTATTATATGCACCCCTTTTGTTTGTTCTTGTCCCTTGTTTTAATGGAACCTGTAGAAGATTTGCTATTTCTGTCATGTTTAATTAAATAAAAAAAAAATAAAATTAATTATAAAAAGTTAATCAAATTTAACACTTCCTTTATTTAAATCAACTATTATTTTTCCATGTTCACCTAATTGCTGATATTGTGTGTAAAGTTCATTAATGCTCATTGGTAAATTCACTTGATAAAGCATAACGTTCAACTGTTGACGACTAAACCCACTGAAAATGAAAAGGGTTGATAGATTTGATTTAATGTTTGTGCTTAATGCTTTGAAATATTGAACAGCCATAAAGAATGAACACTGAATGTGTCGACATTGAGTTAATAACTGATTAAAATATGATTTCTCATTTGTTATTAGTTTTGATTTCACTGCATCATCTAGAAAAATGAGTGAATGCAAAAATTCTTTATCAAAATTTGAAATAGAAAGTGTTTCAAATAATTCATCCCGTTGTTTATCAATAATTTTATCCTCTAATCCTTGCTTCTTGATTGTATTATATAATTCTTTATACATTAAAAAGTTTTTTAAATAATCTTCTGCTTCTTCTTGTGATAAATAAATAATTGGAATTTTGATTAAATGCTTTAAAGATTCAAATGTATCATCTGAAGGTGAACCTGAACGGTTGATATAAATTAACACATGTGAATGGGGGGAAGTGTTAGCAATAATGATAATTTGTTTTAATATCGTTAATGTTTTACCTTTATTTTGTTTACCAATTGCTGCAGTGATTGAATTTAAGTAACATTCAGAATATGGAATTTTCATTAATTTTTCCTTAGATAGAGCATTTCTATTATCACTCAATGCTTCATTAATCATATCATCTACGTATGTATTATATACTCCTGCTAATTCTTCATAAGGGGTGGATGAATTTAAATCCATTTAATCAAAAATAAATTTATAATTTTAAACATTTCTATTCATCAATATTTCATCATATGAACTTCTATACTGCGGTGGTGTACCTGTTGGATGATATTTCAAACCTTCGTCCGGTGTCCATGTCCAATATGTAGTCCTAGTAAACCAAACCTGAGGAGGATTTGTCACCTTGAACAGTAAGTGTCATTTTCACCCTGAATGATTGGATAAGCTTTCACTTGTACTGTAACTTGTGAGTTGAAAGTTTCTAATCCATCAAAGAATATACCCGCTCCATCACGTTGAACTGGAATAGTGCATAAGAATGAAGTTTGGTCTTTCCATGTTCTAGCTAATGGCGTGCCATCATCTGCATTCAGTGGTCTAGTTAATGAGTCCTCGTATTCTTCTGTGCATTCATTCACTCCATCTAAATCAGAAGCTTGAAGCATACGTGTAAAGAATATGTCGCCCACTGTGGTCATCGCTTGATCGGGGAAGTTTCTGGAATCTATAGTGACCTGAAGACCTCGAAGCATTGGATTTTCTAAAACTGTTCTTTGCATTGCATTCTTCGGAAATGTTAACACAACATCTGTAACATTATGAAGAGCGTATGAGAAATCTGAGCTAATACCTTCAGGAGTGATGCAACCTCCATTTAGTGAACGAACGTCAATATGTTGAGCTGGAATCATGAATGGATCTTCCTTACTAAATAAACGTGGTATTGCTTTAACTGATTCTTCAATTAAACCGTATCCTGGTGTAATACATTTTTCCTCTAAAACTTCCATCTTTGTGCATGAAATAATAACGGCATCAACTGTTGCGTCAGCAGATGTAGCGGCTAAGCTTGTAATTAATTTGGCAGGAAGTCCGATTTGTTGGAATTTGCGATCATATTTATAAACATGATTCATAATCTTTTCATAATTTTCATCAGTTATCTTTTCATAAACGTAATTTTGTAAATCAGCAACTCTTAACGGGTCAACCTGACAAAATACTAAAGTATCCCTGAAAACATAATATTTAAGAATGATATCACCAAATGATTTAGGATAATCATCGAACGCCTGAAATGCTAACAAATCATTTACCGGAATAATCATATCAAAAGTGACATCAACTTCTTCATTTGCTTTCTTGAAAACTTCTGAAGGGTCAATATATTTACCGCATACTGAGTTATCATATTTTTGAACATTATTATATAACGAATGAACAAACTTTTTAACTTTCCTTTCTGATTTTGGTTTATATGTTGCAAATGCGAAAGATTCACGGGCGCAATCCATCTGAAGATAACCGGCATCACCTCTTTCGGTTTCTACTTCTAATTGTTTAAAGCTTTGATTTGATGATTTGTAACCAACGAATAAACGCATGCATTTAAAAGCGGTATCACATGTGAAAGCTTTATTTGAAACTAGAGTTGCTTTAACTTTGCGTTTAATATATGTGTCACCTAATTGGTTCACATCATGAGCTGGATTTGTAATTCTTAAATGAGTTTGTTTATCATCAAAATATGGAGCATCAGAGTCATAGCATGAACTTTCAAGTTCTCTATAATATCTTCTACCGTCATTCTTTGCAAATATTTCATTTATCTTTTCGAATGAATGAAACACATTTCCATTAATCGGTTTGGTGTTTGGCACTAAATAGTTAGTCGTCATTTATTAATAAATAAAAAAATCAAAATTAAAAGATGGAAATGAATTTTTAATTTTAATGAAATAATCAACTATGGCTGCAGGTATATTTAAGAAACTGTGGGATAGAGTAAAAAGAGGGGCGAGTAAAGTTTGGGAAACATTGAAGAAGGGAGCAAATTGGATATTTAAGAATAAAGAAGCAATTAGTGACGTTGCTGAATCAATAACACCAAAAGCTGCCCCAATAAGAGAAGTTTTAAATAAAGGAGAAAAAGTTTATCAAAGACTACAACCGATACTAAGATAAAAATAATATTTATTTATTTTTCCACTATCTACCTCCTATTTTATAGGGTGTCCAAAGGTGTGTTTAGCACAAACCTGAATACTGCGAATAGAAATAAACAAGTTACATATATATAAAGTTTATTTAAATATAATCACCATTGGATTCAATCACGCGTTCGCAGCGATCGATCCAGGCTTCAAAGACACGCTTTAAATCATCATGAGAAAATTGCTCAAATTGCTCTCTTACAAAATTTTCAAGATCATCTGGACTCGCGAATTCGCGTCCTTCAGCTCTCTTTTTTAGCGTGCCGAATAAATAAAAGTCAGAGGGTGCAATATCAGGTGAATAAATTGGGTTTGGAACAACTTTGACATTGTTTTCCAACAAGTAATTCATTACCTTATGACTTTTGTGAACTCTTGAATTATCAAAATGAATTGCAAACTTTTGTTTTTGTTGTTTGGATTTCTCAAACTCATCAGAATTGATAATTTGAGTAAGAACATTGTCAATTAGATACTGAGCATTCATCGTATTAGGTTTTTGAAGAATATCAATTGCGATGATGCCATTCACGCCCCAAAAAACCGACAACATCATCATTGGTGTGTCAATTTTTTTCTTCGGGAATGTTTGCGGATTTTCATCCTTCGGGATCCACATGATTTTGACTTCTGTTGCATATTGAAACCAAGACTCGTCCCCTGTTACTAAAAAGCGAAACTTCTTGGATTGATACGCACCCAATATAGAGAGGAGCTCTTTCGAAGATTGGACTCTAGATTTTTTTTGAACTGAATTAAGGTTGTGCGGAACCCAACGTGTATACGCTAGTTTGTAGTTCAAATAATTGTGCAGATAATAACTGACTGTTGTACGTGGTATCTTTGTCATCTCCTCTATCCTTCTGAGTGATGCTCTTGGGTCTTCATCTAGCGCTTGAAGAATTGCTTTGATTTTTCTTTGATCCGGCGATTTTTTGTCAATTTTTATGATGGGCGCTTTTTGTTCATGAAGTGATACATCCTAACATGATACGTTACAGTGGAATAGCTAGGAGCATCCATACAGAAGCATTTTACCAATGTCTCGTAGATTTTTTTACAGTCTTTGCATTTTTTTGCAAGAGCGAGGATGTTTTCTTTATGATTCATTAAAAAAATGAAAAAAATCCCGCCAAAATTTCCCGCGAAACCGCCTCTTGTCTCAAAATTCATTTTATATCCCGGCATGGCGCCAAAATACAACATACTCATCATATACATATATTCATATTTTTTATTATATATTTATAATCAGCATATATCTCCTTTAATAGTCTCATATAGAGCGCTGTGCTAAACGCACCTTTGGACACCCTATATTAAGTATTCCTTCAGCTATTCCACCAATTGCGTTACCTGCTTGTGCTCCCATCGCCGGATTACCTGCTTTAGTACCTAATACTCCACCTATGATAGTTCCTGCCGTTTTCGCTACTGGTGCCAAAAAGTTTGCAATGGGTTTAATAATCTTTTTATGAACCCAACCCGCAGCTTTCTTAATTCCATCCCATAATTTTTTAAAGAATCCTGCCGCCATTTCTGATTTGATATTAATTAAAAAATATATTTCATCACTTATATTCTAATTTTTATTTAATGATAAATGAAACCGATTTTAAAAATAAATGAAACAGAGGAAGAAATAAATGAAAGTAAAAATGTTCAACAAAAAATAAACGTTGTTAAACCAATTACTGAAATAAAAATTTTTTCATCTGTTGAAGAATTTAATGACTATTATGCTAATAATAAAAAATTATTTGAAGAATTGACAACATGTAAATTGAATAAAATGTTTAAAGTTGATGGATTCAAAATTTCAAAAATAAAAGGAGTGATTAGTTTGAAATCTATTCCTCAATCAAGAATCACCTCATTAATGAAAATAGATGATTTAACAAAAAGAATAGAAGAGATTGAAGAAAGAATGAATCAAATAATTGATTTCATAAATTCAAATAATCATTAGTTTCTAATTTCTTTTTACTCGTTTATGAGGTCTTTGATTATGACTCCTCTGTTTCATTTATATATAGCTTCTTTTATAAAAGATGAAATATATTTCATTATGTTTGGGCTGAGTGTAAATGTCTTACGATTTGAAAATTTTTTAAATCTTGATTTATTCAAAAACGTAAGAATAAAAACCGTCAGAATCATACATTTTTTACTTCATATGTTAAAAAAAATGATACAAAATCGTTCTATATTGTATGAATTCTTACATTTTCAAAAAAAGTCACACAACCCGTCCACATATACTACTATGAAGAATAATTGGCTCATTTATTGATGAACTATAAATTCCAAATAAGAATTAGCTTGCTTACTTGATTTCTTTTAAAAGATAACTCAGATCTCTTCTGCTTTTTTTTTGAGTTGAATAAAGTCCTTTCAAATTTTTACACAAATGTAAATTGAAAAAAATTACCCAAAGCCGAAATCTCATCATTCAAATAGTTTTAAATCATATCAGGTTGATGATATTTTTCCCTTTGATATAAATTGTTTATTTTATTTTTATATAAAATTTTTTTTCAATGACGGAATCCAATCAACCAAAACCTGGAACCTATCTATTTTACATTAATATGGTTCAAAACTACATGGGTGATATGGATTCCACCATGTTCATGATGTCTACAAACTCATTCCAAAATTTTTATGAAAAACAATTTATGCAAGACGGGAACCTAGGAAATAATCAGTATAAGATCGATGAAGCTCTTTCAGCGATCTCATTTCAACAACTAAATAATCCCGCGCTGACGATGATTCTTACAAATATCTTAACTCAGTCAAAGGATACAGATAAAACTTACAAAGCTAACAGAATTTGCAGAGATCTCCAAGCAATATCACCTGAGAAAAATGCGTTGGTCTGGGATCTTTTCGAGAAGATAATTGTTTGGGCAGCAAATTCTTTAAAGGCGTCTTTCTCTTTAGTTCTTGAAGTTTTCCTCTCCAAATGCCTGTCTTGGATGACTGAAAACAATTCCTATCAGAGATACGCCGGCTATCGTCTATTTAGCACATTATTTAAATTTTTCCCTGCTTCTTTAGAGAGCAACATCAACCACTACCGCACATTAATTACAAAATTCTTTAAGTCTGATGAAACTGAGTATTATCCAGTCGTATTAGATGCTCTAAGAACTTTAATGGATTATGATAAGACCACGCACAACGAAGTTATTCAATTGCTTTGCAAGCCATTCAAGTCTGGCAAAGCTGTCAAATTCCCTGGCGTTTGCATCGCTTTATGGATGATTCTTGAGAGATATCCAGACGATAAAATCCATTTTAGCATCTCTTCATTGCCAATGGACACATTTTTCGGAAAAGAACTTAATCTTAAGCTCGCGACCGTACCAGCTCTCCCTATTTTGATTAGAGTTGCCCCAGATTTATTTACAGATGAATTAATCAACAACATTTTCAAGACATTTGAACCCCTACTCAAGAAGAAAGCTATAATGAGAAACGAAGTCCTCCTTGACTTCTCGCGCTTTATTTTCTTTGGCGGAATCAAAAAAGATGACGATATAATTTCCAACATCAAGAAATGTCGTAAGGAAATTTACGAAGCTGTTGATAGTCCTGAAGCTGCTGCTGCACTTCTTGCCTGCGATATCTATTGCCAGGATTTCATTACAGCTGATACTAACAGAATTTACAGTCAATTGCACTCTCTCATCCTTTCATCTTCACTTAAATGCTTCCTTGAAGTCTGTCCATCATTTTCAGATACCGTTTATCGAAACGTCTTAATTTTTGGAAATGATATTCTTCTCAACATTTCATCTCCACCAGACAAAATCGCAGCTTTGTTCAACGTTTTTGTCGATCTCAACATTCCTTCTTCAAATCTCTCGCCTGCTCTGATTTTAGAATATTCAAACCACTTAAGTTCGCAATCGAAAGAAGTTAGACTGACATGCTTCAGATATTTGCTTAAATACAATAACGATAATCCATCAACGGAGGTAATGCATCGCATCTTTACAAGTATTTCTACAGAACAAGACAAAGAAACTCGTCTTGAAATCTTATCAAATGTTAATGTCAAGGTTGCTGATAATGCTATTATTCTTGCGATTCAACAACTCTTACACGACCTCGATTCATCCGTCAGAAGGTTATCTTTCGAAATTATGGTCAAACTTGCCAACTACGAAGCTGTTCCTCCAATCCTTTCTTCAATACTTTCAGAACGTCTGAAATATCTGCAAAATGCTCCTGAAATTTTAAAGGAGAATATTTTACCTTTCAGTGTTGTTGCGAACGCTGCATTTTCTGAACCTCCACAAGTATACTCTGCAAATTGCCGTCAAGTTTTCGTTCCTTTCTCCCAATTCTTGACGAAATTTTTATTATCCTCAAAGAAACGCCTTGATTCTGTTTCTTTACAACTCCTTACCCACTTAGTTACAAATTTATCCGATGAAATTAATATCGATTTACTTGTCCAACATATCGAAGCCTCATTATTACCTCACTCCTCAATGGGACGTCTCAGTGCAGCTCTAAATCTCATGTATGCAGCCCTTAAGTTCACTACTCTTAGGCACAACCTCATAGAAGACCATTCCAGCTTACTTGCGAAATACATGACGATTACGAACATGCCAAAGACAGCTGTCGATCGTAAAGTACTTTTGAAAGTGTTAGGATTGATCGGTGCTCCGAAGCCATCCCTCGTTATCAACTGGCTGAAGAAGAAAGAAAAGACAGAATCATCAAACACAGTCACTTCACCAAACATTTTCATTTCAAAATCTGCCAGCAATGATCCAGATCAATCTTTACTTGTTGCATCTATTGGTATTGGTCTTATCAACATCTTAGATATATTAGGTGATGAATCATTGGCTTCTTTGCACTCATATGCTATTGATTCTTTGATCAAATTCCTCAAGGTCAACAGAAGTCTCGAAGAAGATTTCGAATCACTCCTCATGATGAGAGTTAACGCATTGCTCCAGTCAAGAGGTACTTCAACAACATCTGTTTTGCTCTCAAATATGGCTACTTTGGTCACTTCACTTGGTGCAAGATTTAAACCATTAGTTCCACAAGTCATTGATTTGATTTGCGAACAATGGGGTAAAATCGATCCTGTAACTTTCACAAGAACAACAGAATGGCTTGCCATTTCTTTACCGAAAGTTTTCGTGAATTATCTTCCAAGAATTGCACTTTTGTTCACAAAAGATTTCGCAATTCTCCAACCAAAGGCTGTTCACACAATTCTCAGCTGCTTGGTATCATTTGGAACACTCCTAAACCAAGTTGATCATATCATCATCCCACCAATCTTGTCATGGCTTTTGGATAACGCAATGAGCACAACAGATGTCATGCAGACATTAATTAGATTCAAGCAAATTTGCATCTTAGCAGGAGGTGCAAAATTCGCTGGTCCAATTTTCTCGACGTTGATTTCTGTCGTGAAAGCGAATAAAGATGTTCACAACCAATGCCTTGAAATCTTGTTCGTCATCGCTTGCCAGATGGGAACTCAATTCGCTTTCCACAAATCATATCTCCAAGAAGTATTCGATTTCTCGAAACACCAAGATTTGTCAATTGTCGCTGTTTTGTCTGAAATCGGAACAAACTTCCCTCAGTCAATTTTGGACAAAGTTTCTCCACAAAACTCAAAAATCAGCAGAAGTGTAAGTACTCCAAAGAATCAACTCTCCAACACTTCCAAACTTGAGAAATTACCTGATTTCACTATTCCTTCAGCTAATTATTCAGAATCTAACTGGATCACATGGTATAATGAAATCTCTTCTATCTGTTTCAACGAATCTCCTTCAAAATCAATCTGCGCTTGCATTTCTTTGGCTGAAAGACATGCTCCTGTGCATGATTCTCTTTTCCCGATTTCCTTTGCCATTTACTATTTCGCTGCCGAAGTCAAACAAGACGACAAGATCCAACAGATCATGAAGACTGTTTTCAAGTCAACATCAACACCTCGTCACATCTTGAAACACTTCTTAGATGTCATTGAACTCATCGAAGTTGTTGGTGCAAACATTCCAATTCCAATCCAAATTCTCAAGACACGTGCACAAGGTGTAAACAACACAGCACAAGCATTGAGATTTGCTGAGAAACTCTTCGATGAAGGTGATGAAGAAGTCTCAGAAGACTTGATTGTCCTCAACCAGATGCTTGGTCTTCCACTTGCTGCTAATGGTATCTTGAGATGTTCTAAAGCAAGAGCAAATAACCAACAAGAAGGAGAACTTTCAGAAAAACTTGGTTTGTGGAATGATGCTTTACAGATGTACGATGAAAAACTCAAAGAAGATCCAAACAACCAGAGATACATCATTGGAAGATTGACATGTCTCAACGAACTCGCCAGGTATAAAGATCTCATGGAAGCTGTCAAAGATGATCCAAGAAACACTTATTTCATTGGTTCTGCCGCATACAACTTGTTTGATGATCAAACATTTATGAGCGTTGCAAAGGATATCTCACCGAGATCTCGCATACCAAATGATTTATTCTTCGCTTTGATCTATGCCATCAAGACAAAGAATTTCGAAAATGCTTTGGATATCTTAGCTCGTTTGCAAGCAGCCAAAGTTGACAAAGTCTTTCCAATGATTTATGAAGATTACGAACGTGCTTACGAAGATACTTCCATGGTTTCGATCACACAAGAATTGTACGAAGTTATTCAGTACATGCAAGCTGCTGATAGGGCAATTCAGCCTAATCCTTCTGAACAATCATTGGCCAAGAAGACAATGGAAAGAATTAAGAACAGATGGCGTTATAGATTCAAATTCCTTCCTGACAGACCAAATGTTTTGTTCCAGCACATCAGAGTCCAATCATTAGTTCTTCCTTATGAAGGTCTCAGAGCTCAATACTTGAGTTACTTGGATTGCGCAATCAGACATGGAGAATCTCACATCTCATTACTCGAATCAACATTGGAAGTTTTGATGGGAACAGCTCCTGATGACACTGATCTCAGATACGATGCCGCCAGATTGCTTTGGCTCAAAGGAAACAAAGCATTGGCTTACATCCACTTAGAAGGCATCACAAGAGAAGGTGGAGATACAGGAATGGCTGAACTAACATTAACTAAATGGTTCATGTCAGAAGGAAAGCTTCAACAAGCGGCTCAACACATTGTTAATGCCATCAGATTCAATCCAAATTCCGTTGATTCATGGAACACTTCATCTCTTTTGTTCTTGGAGTATTATGATGCAACAAAAGACGAGAGATACATCATACAAGCCATTGATCAGGCTTTCAATGCTTTGTGCTTCTCCGTTGATGATCCTTTGGCATTTACATTGAGAATCTTGTCTTTGTTGTTCAACCACGAAAACCAAGGAATTTACGACATCTTCGAGCAAAGAATTTCTTCAGTTCCTGTTCAAGTGTGGATCGATGTTTTGCCACAAATCATCGCCAGAGCATCAACAGAAGACGACAGACTTCGCGAGATCATCTTCAAGCTGTTAGTTTCAGTTGGAAGAGAGTTCCCACATGTTATCTTGTCTCAGTTAATGGTTCCTTACAGAGATGACAAGACAATCCGCCAAAAAGTTGCAGCCCAAACATTCGAAGCATTGACATCAATCTATCCAGATTTAGTCAGAGACATGATGTCATTTACAGATGAAATGATCAGAGTTGCTGTTACATGGTGGGAGCAGTGGTTCGGCATCTTGGATGAAGCATCTCGTGCTTATCTTTTGAGAAATGATATAAACGAGATGTGCGAATTATTAGAACCACTCAATGAAGTCATTTCTAAAGAGCCATCAACATATTTCGAAGTCTCCTTCTTAGCACAGTTCGGTTTGTCTTTGGCCAATGCACATTCCTGCATCAAAGAATACAGGAGAACTCAGAACGAACAATGTGTTTTATCTGCATGGCAAACATACTATTCCGTTTACCAGGATTTGAAGCCAATGATCAACTCAATGTCTACAATTCTTCTGGCAGATGCATCTCCAATTCTCCACAAATTCTCATCAAAGAACATCATCGTTCCTGGCACATTTTCTCATGGAAAGCCTCTTGTTACTTTGTCATCCATCGCTCCAGAGTTAACTGTCATGAAATCCAAACAGAGACCAAGAAGAATGATCATGTTTGGCGACGACGGAAAGAAATACACTTTCTTGTTGAAGGCGCACGAAGACACAAGACTTGATGAAAGAGTTATGCAGCTGTTCGGCTTCATCAACACTTTGGTTGAACACAGTGATATTCCAATGAAGAATCATTTGGATATCACAACATACAAAGTTATTCCTCTCACAACAAGTGTTGGTTTGATCGGTTGGGTCCAGGGATGCTCAACAGTTTACGATCAGATCAAACAAAGACGTGAAAAGGCAGGAATTCCACTTGAACTCGAATGCCAGACAACATACAAGGCTGCACCAAATTACGAGCAATTGCCTCTTGATGATAAATTGTTCGCCTTCAAGAGAGGTCTCAACGCAACTAAAGGTGATGATCTCAAGATTCTTTTGCTCGCACAAGCAAATGATTCGAACCATTGGATCGAGAGAAGAACTGCATATTCTACATCTCTTGCGATGACATCAATGGCCGGTTACATTTTAGGTTTGGGAGACAGACATCTTTGCAACATCATGATCAAGCAAAAGAGTGCTAAACTTGTTCATATTGACTTCGGCGATTGCTTCGAAGTTGCCCAGCACAGAGAGAAAGCCCCAGAAAAGGTTCCATTCAGATTAACAAGAATTCTTTCAAACGCCCTTGAAGTATCAAGAATTGAAGGTACATTCAGATCATGCTGCGAAAACGTCATGAATCTAATGAGATCTAACTCTGAAACAATCAATGGTATCCTTGAAGTTTTTGTTTACGATCCTCTTCAACAATGGATAGAAGAATCAAAGGATGAACACGGCGGTGACGCTAAAGTCATCATCAACAGAATTAAAGATAAATTGTCAGGAAGAGACTTCCCAGAGAAGGAGAAGTTGACTTATCAAGACCAAGTCGACAGATTAATCCAGGAAGCAACAGATGCCAACAATTTGTGTCAGATGTTCAAGGGATGGCATCCATGGTGGTAATATATTTACATATGTTACTGTACCTTTTTATTATTATATTTATTTTATAATTTATAGTTAAAATTTATCATCTTATTATTTTGTAAAAAAAAATTGAGTACATCCTGTCTGTAATAGCTGCTTTCAATAAAGATTAAGATAATGACATGGAAAACCAGTTATCATTTAAATTCAATATTGAATTTGATTTTATGTAAACTATTCAATAAAAATCTTCTTTATTTTGAATTTGATTTTTTCTTTGAATGATTTAACTAAAGCATAACTAAACTTCAGCCTAGTAACTATGACGACTCTGGTCGGAGACTCAGTTTAATCACTGAAACAAGTCCAAATATCCTCATTAACGCAGAATGTGAAGTCATCTATGGTCAAGCATCCGATGATTCATGTTCCAAGAAAGTTCGCAATACACTTCAGACATTTACATTCGAAAATAATCCTAAATTACGACAAATTCAAAGTTATGCATTTTATTCGTGTGTTGCTTTAACATCAATTGATCTTTCATCATGCACACTTCTCACATCAATTGGTGCACGAGCTTTTCAGTCATGCACAAGTGTTACACTTTTAAAACTGCCTCCTAATTTGCAATCAATAGAAACTTACTCTTTCCATAATCTTAAGATTACAAGTGTCATAATACCAGCTTCGTTAAAATCATTTGGATCTAATGCCCTTTCAAAATGCTCTCTTTTGACTTCTCTTACATTCGAACCAGACTGTCTCTTGACCAATTTACCACTCGCTTGTTTTGCAGGATGTGATTTGAGAACGTTTCTTATTCCACCAAATGTTAGAACAATATCTGCTACATGCTTTAATGATAATACCAATATGAATAGCATTAATGTTGATACAAAGAATATCTATTTTACCAGTGATGGTAAAGCCATTTATTCTAATTCTAATACTTTGATTTATTGTGCTTCGAATGTGGGTACTACATTCACTGTTCCATCAAATGTCCCTGTTATTGGAGAAGGTGCTTTTGTAAGTTCTCAATGCCAAACAATTATTCTTCCAAATGAATTAAAAGAAATAAAATATTTTGCTTTTGCAAACTCCAAAATAACCAGAATCGATATTCCCGATTCGGTAACAGATATTGCAAGCTCTTGTTTTATTAGTTGTCCGAATTTAGAATATGTTAAACTTCCGATTAATTTGAAAAGTATTAATGCCAGTTGTTTCAAGGCTTGCTCATCGTTAAAATCCATTGTTATACCTGATAATGTAACAGTAATTGAGAAGAATGCTTTTGCAAATTGTCCGAAAGTTAATTTGATGTTTGCAGAAGGATCACAAGTCTCGATCAATGATCAAGGATTGATCATCGACAAAGATGAATTATACATTTCACAATGTGTTAATGCAGAAGCAACGACTATTCAAATTCCAAACACAGTTACTATCATCAAGAAGTCTGCATTCAAAGGTAAATCTAAACTCCAAACTTTATCACTGATTGATGTAACATCATCACTGACAACAATAGAAGAATATGCATTCTACGGCTGCACAAGTCTAACATCAATCCCAGACATCTCACAAGTTACTTCATTTGGACTTAGTTGTTTCCATTATTGCAACCTTCAAGGTTCATTAACATTCTCCTCTTCAACACTGTTTACTGATGAACTTGCATTTGCCATTAACAAGAATATCCAAGAATTGCATTTCAATAATGCCGAATCTATTACTATTTCTAAAAATGCATTTTCTAGCTGTATTTCAATTTCGAGTTTAACTTTTCCAACATCAAGCTCTGTGAAGAAACTGATGTCATTAACTCAATTGAAATTATGTGATTTTTGTTTCTATAATTGTCCTAATATACAGTCTATCACTTTGCCAGGTGCAGTGACAACACTCGGAGCATCGTGTTTCAGAAACACAGGTCTTAATTTCATCTCATTTAAAGGAAATGTTCTTGGACAAACAGACATTCCATCTTATTGTTTCCAAGACTGCATTTCATTAACATCATTCAGTTTCCCAAGTAATGTTGACACAATTGGGACAGGAGCATTCATCAACACATCGATCTCCGAACTTAACCTTCCAGACAGCATCAAGTCACTGAAACCACTTTGTTTCAGCAACTGTCTTAGTTTGCGAAGTTTGACAATCTCAAGCAATTCGTTGCTCGAATCGATCGGAAATGGTGTTTTCAAAGGATGCACACATTTTCGATCTATCAGTCCATTCGAGAACAAATTCTACACATGCATGAACAGTGCTATCTACAATGTTGATTTATCAAGTATAATATTGTTCCCACCTGCATCTGACCAGAAGTTCTTCTCTTTCTCAGACAGAGTTCGCATCATCGAAGATGGTACATTCTCCGGATGCAAGAACTTAGAACTCGTCTTGATTCCAGACAACTCTATCGAAACTATTGGTTCATCTGCATTCGAATACTGCACCAATCTCATCAGCATCAACATCCCAAAGTGTGTTCAGTCCATTGGTGTTGATGCATTCATCGGTTGCGATCGTCTTAAATGCGGGTCGTTGTTGAGAACAAGACACGATCATACACCGACATGATTTTATTATCTGGTATCACCAAACGCATGTCATCCATTTGTTCAGACAGATCATGCCGTGTTGAAACTTCTTCAAACAAATTGCTTAGCCTTGCAATTTATGTTTTTATTTTAATGTAAATATATTTTATTTTTTCAAACTACATCTTATTCTATTTTATTCATTGTACATTTTGCGACCCTAATGGCATGAAAGAATGACTATTACAACTTTATGTTAATATTTTTGAACAGTAATTAGCTATAAGATAAATCAGTATATTGTAAGACTTTTTGCTTTAATTGATTTTGAAACAGGATATTTGAAAGAGGTAAGTGCATCTTTATTTAATTTAAGCCCCAACTTTCACAGTCCAAAATCTTCTTAAAAAGTTAATGTTTTAAAATTTGATGCTTTTAAAAAAATATATTTTCTTGATCAAAATAAAATTCCATGTATAAAAAAAATAATAAATAAAAATAATAAATATATCTATAAATAAATATATAATTATATCTTAGTATTTGGAAGTAATGTAACAGTCTTAGCAGTGAAGTTTCCAACCTTGCAATTCTCAAATCCAAACTTATCAGTTGGTAAATGAGAAGCAACTTCCTCGCAAACAACAGAAGTTCCAATTGGAGTCAAATCAATCATCTGCATTGTTTCTTCAACAACTTTTCCTGCAATTCCGAATGTTGGATTCTTTGGCTCCAACAATGAACCAATAACAGGACCTCCTACATGGCAAACAGTTGTTAACCAAAGAGAAACACCGCCTGTCTCATTGAGAGAAGCGATTTCTTGTCTCAGTCTCAAGCAAACTGAAACAGACTGCAAAGCCTGTGCTTCAGGGTCTGTTTGGTGTGTGAACAAGCCAGCGATGCACATCACGGACTTTCCATCGCATGTCAATCTGTCGACAGCTGTGAATCTGCCTCTTAACTCATCCAATCTCTGGTAAACACCGTGCAACAATGACATAACTGCGGATGGCTGCATTACAGAAATAAGTTCGGAAATTCCTTCGATGGAAATCATTGAAACAACAACTGAATCACTTGTGAAAACTGATTCCTGACCTGATTTAATGGATCTGTAAGCATCTAATGGTAATATTCCTTTAAGCATCTTTGCTGCTCTTCTCTTTGCTTGTCTTGCCTGTTCCTTTTGCTCCAAAATTTTTGTTCTATCTACTGCTTCAACGATGATTGATGTCAATTCTCCTTGTTCATCTCTGACAGCGATAACTGTGCATTGAACAGGAATTCCTTCACCGCTCTCACCGATTAATACAACTTGTCTTGAGAAGGAATGGAAATCCTTATCAGTCCTGATTCTTTCAATATCTTTATAGAAAAGTGACATTTCACTTTCACCGACTGTTGTAGAAACAGAAATTGTATGTTCTTCGCCGGACAAAGGACCATTTGTGTTGTTTGCACCTGCGTCAGGAAGCAACTGTGTGAATGGCTGATGGTTGATGACATCACTTGAGTAGCCAGTGACTTGCTTAAGAGCTGGATTTGCTGATTCAATGATCAAACTTGGTGTCAATGACAAAATTACATTTGATGATGAAGCAATCATTGTTTCACCGAATGTCATGACTGCATCATCCATGTGTGGGTCCTCTCCAAGTACTAAGTCCAAGAGCATCTTATTGGATAAAACAGCTCTTGGCGGTAACAAAGAGATCAACTGTTTGACACCATCAAACATAACTGTCAAATGACTGTAACACATATACAAAATGATGAAAACGGCGATATCAATAATGATACCAACAATGATGATAACTCTGCATCTCAAGATCATATCACTTGCCTTACTTGAACCTTCATCAGCCAATCTATCATTGAATGAGTTCAACTGATCTAACAAACCATCATACATCATATACATTGTTTCTGTGAACATTTCTGAATCAGACAAAACTGTTGATGCATTAGCAGAAAGTCTTGAATATCTGTTCTTCATCAAAATGATGATATAATTGACTTTCTTATCCATTGATTGGCAAGAGACAGCTCTCATAGGATTCCTTGTTGGATCTGTACTTGTTAAGTTAGAACAGTTAGCAGATAACTGTAAAGTATCAAGGGAATCATCATAACCAATACCAGCATTCATCAAAACTTTATGTGCGTTATCAACAATTGAATGATCTTCTTCAAGGATTTCAGCAGCAACTGATTGGTTGATTTGTCCCATTGCGTAGGATATCATTGTATTCACGAAATGATAGATATATGTGTGTCTGTTCGATGAATACTTATAAAGCTCAAATACTTGTTGGAATGAATCCAATTCACTGAAAATATTCGTAGAGAACAAAATAACTAAACATGAAGCAATGACGTATAAAATAACAACGAAAGGAATTAATGTCTTAAGAGATTCACTCATATGCATATTCAATGAACCTCCTGAATCCAATGGTTTCTCACCAGATGATTTGATAATTGGCATAACACTCTCTTTGATTATATCTGGTTTAACTGTTCTCAATGTTGCAGAAATTCTGTGGATATCAGATACAAAGTAATAAATTACATATCCTGCAAATGCTTCGAAAACAATTAATAACAATATTGGTAATGCGTAAGAAAGAACATAAATAATTGTTCTTACTTGTTTGACATTAGCATAACCATCATCATTAAGCATTTCAGAAATCTTCAACATGAAAGGAGGAAGATTTACACCATTAATTACAGCGGTTTTGAGAATTGATGCGAATGTGCCGTTGTTTTGGTTTTCTTTAGCTTGTATTGGTGAAATTCCAAGTCCAAACTTGACATTGTTGATGACACCATTTAATGCATCTTTGATGGACATGTTGACATATGTTGTCTTACCATCATTTCCGAATCCAGAGAGAACAGCACTTCCATTGATATATTCTGAGACAATTGTGTCTCGTGATGAATCTCCTTGAACAATTGAACTCAAAACATTTGTCAATGAGTCGACAACTGTCAATGTTTGACGGTGTGTCCATAGTTCTGGCTGCTTGAAGATGCCGTCTGATGGAAGATCACTGGTATTTAAGTACTTGTTGACGTTGGAATCAACATCGTAAAGAATTGTTTTCGGATCTGAAAGGTTTGAACCGTATTTCGCGAGAAGGAAGCCGGCACCTGTTGTCATTTCGATGAAAGATGCAGATGCTCTGGCGAAATTCTGGTTTTCAAGGACGTTTGAAAGAGATGATTCGGCGATATAAGGAACAATAATGAAAATGATGATGAAAACAACAATGAACGTGATTAATGAGATGAACATGAAGTATTTGAGGGACTGGATCATCTTCAAATGACCTTTTCTGAGAGCGGATTGCAATGCCAAGCGAATTATTCCGTCTTTGAGGAAGTTTGAGGGGTGTTCTTCTTTCTTGGCCTCAAAGCCAGCACTCATACTTGATGATGAGAATGATCCGGACGAAGAGAAAGAATTCTTTGCATTTGCATCTTTGTTGTTGCCTGCATCAGGTCCTTTCTTGATGAATTGGCCGTTGATATCAACACAGTGCTCGAAAAGAAGCTCAGGAACAACGTTAACAATGGATTGGAAGCAAGGATCTTTTGGTATTTTTCTGCCGATTTCAACAGATGCGGCCATTGACTTCCATCTGAGGGCGGAATGGTAATTACCAAGTGCTTCGACCAGGAATGTAGCGTATTCTTCGCATAATGAGGCATTTGATGGGAATCTTTCCGTAGAATCACCGAAAGCGCTATCGATATTCATGGATTCGGTATGTACATAGTGGTATGTCTCCATGGAAATGTCCTTTGACCCAACAGTTGCAATCGAAGACCAGAAACATCTGACCATTGCTGTTACTTTCTGGGCCTTGTTACGGAGAACAGCAATGTGGTTCCTTGCATCGTTAGAAACTGCACTTTGACGGGTCAAATGAATCTTTGTGACCTGATAAATAAGGAATTGCTCGATGAGACTTGGGTCTCTGATGTTGCTGAGGTTGACAAGAAGGGATGTGAGCAACTGGAGCTCGCTTGGGAAGAAAGAAACGATCTGAATAACGGCTTCGAGAATTGTCTTCTCTGCGTAGTTAGTAACGATATATCTGATGAATGAGAAATCGAGTAATAAGTCACAGCGTTCAACAAGACCGATGTGAAGGTATCTGATCGCATCTTTTGTATTTTTGAAAACAAATGTTTCGAAATACTCCGTTTTTTCACTATCGGAGATATCGTTTCCGAGTCTGATAGCTTTGTAGATGAGTTTGTTCTTGATTGCAATATAACCTTTCTTCAAATAAATGTTATAACAAACGGCGCAAATTGGAGAAAGGACTACTGGTACGAAGAGGATGACGTACCATGGGAACTTGACGTATGTATCGATAATAGCAATCAAAAAGGCGATGCCCGAGAAGAAGAAAGTTGCTGAATAGATAAGAGTGCATTCAAACCTGTAGATTGGGTATTCTGTAAGCTTGTAGATGCAATAGCAGCAGGATGCAACAAGACAAAGCCCGAGAATTGTGGAAATCCAGTTTGGAAATTCGTCGACGAAAACGGATAAGAAGGTTGAAACTAGAGTAGTGAACATGAAGAATGGAATAAGATTGTGGTTCCATTGACCGCAGTTGTTGCGAATGACAATTGGTGATTTTACGGTGAATCCGTTTGAATAATAAAAGACTAAGCTTAAAGCGAATAGCATTATGATATCTACAAATGAAAACACGATTGCCTGTGGTGTAGGATCATCTAACAAATCTACAAAAGAGTAAGCAGATGAAGCGGCAACAGCTGGAAGAATGAGAGGTAGTATAATTAAAAGTAAAACTCTAAGTAAATATAATTGCCATTTTTGATACGTGCGCTTTTTTGCGTATGAGAAGTAACAAATAATGTAAATTCCAAGAATTATAATTGAAATGGCAGCTTCGATGGCTGAAACTATTGTATGGGATAAGGTTCCTCCGATTGTTTGTCCAAAATCAACGATGCTTACTAAACCTTTGAAAAATGTTGGGGCGTCTGGCCATCGAATTGATGATGGAATCCATAATGATGATATGGCTGATTGAAGGAGTGAAATGAAAAGCTCGATATGGAGAACAAAACGTGGAATATTTGCAAACCTTGACATTTCACTGAAAAGTGGGAAAATTGTTGACTCTAAGCGTTTCTTCGAGCGAGTGGCTTCATCGCTTGTCGATCCCGAAGACGAAAAAGATGTGTTTGTGGTCGAGATTGACACAGAAGGCGCGATAGACGCCATCTCAATAAATTTAAAGTTGATTTAATAGAAAATTATACCTATCTGAATTTATACATGCAATCAGTAAATAAGTACTTTTGAGATAACAAAAAACGTATTTTTACACTTTACTGGTTACAAAGTTTTTCTACAATAATCGTCACTTTTGAGGTTATCTTAAGATCGAAGAGGATAAATAGTACAAAAATGCGTTTGCAATTAAATATTAAAATTTTCTGCACGTTATTTACTCACAAAAAATTCACAGCATTTTTTTAGCAAAGCAACAGCTTCAAAATATTACAGTTCCTTCTTAGCTGATAAAGCTATACTATGCATTGGTATAGTATAAGTAATATTTTTGTCTATTCAATATGCTTCTAAAATTGTTCAAAATTAATTTTCAAAATTTAAAAACATGATTACCATAGCTCTTTTGAGTATATTCTGATGAGGCTTCATGTAAAATGGTGGCCCATATTAATAGCATTTTTGAATAATTGTATTTTGCTCAAATATAAATCGCAAACTCTAAAGGATGTATAGCTGCAAGCATAAATCTGCTGCATACTTATGTGTTTTATACTTTGTAATATTTTGATCCTTTGTTTACTGTTGATTATATGTTTTTTCAATGAAAACTTTGATATTTTAATATTGTGTTTGAAAATCCAATATGAAATTTGATATATTATATTAATACATATAATGTATTTTATCAGGTTATAAAAATTAGAAATAATGAAAAGATATCAAAAATATATTTGTAAAATTAGTAATATTAAATTTTTTACATTATATTAGTTTTCTGGTTGAATAATACAGCTTTTTCCCAGTTTTAGTTCAGCTCAATTCCAACTTTTTTCCTTCAAAAAATTCATTCAACCAAAAAATATTGAGAAAAGAATATAAGATTTGTTAATCATTTTATTGTTAACATATTTCTAGACGTTAGAATTTGATTCACAACAATGCTTGGAAACAGACTATTTGCATCGACCTATGATCTTCATCCATTGGCTTCGATTCTTATATTTATCTAAATTACAATATGCTTAAAACGCTAATTAAAAGATTACTAATACCATTGTATAAAAGCTGGTAATCATATCATTCTACTATTTTCCATTCCGAGGCATATATTTTGTTAATTTGAGTTGTTTTTTATATAATGTGTGAAACTGAATCACATTATGCTGACAATATGAATATATTATGCAAATGTATGATACGAAATAAAACAATTTGCTGATATCCGTTTGGTCACAATAAATTGGATGAAAAACAACCGTAGAAGTCGTCGAATCCCTGATTATTACATACAAATAATGATAATAAATGATTACTATCAAATAAAGGTCACAGCGTAATTAAATTTTATCGATAAAAACGTGAGTTTATTTTGATTTTATCAATCCGATAACAAAACTGTAAGGCCTAGATCCCAGGTAGACATTAATGGATATTTTATTAATTATTTTTTGATCTCTTCTAGGTGATGTTTCATTAATCGAGAACTCTCAAATTCTAATCAAAATCAAATAAAACGATGACCAAATTCGCTCTCAAAACTATTTTTGTGGGTGTCTCATTTAATAGAATCATTTATATGCTCCATAATCTATATTAATATCAAAGAATCGATGAAAATTAATGATTTGGTTCATACTCAATCAATGACCTAAATTTGTCTCAATTCTATTTTAAATACTTTCTCAATTTTTGAGAAAATAAAAGTCATCATTATTCCAAAAGCATTCCAAGAAGATAATGCGTAGTTCATTCGGATTTGCCAATAACAACGAGTACTTACCACTCATGAACGGAAACAAGGCCTACATTCGTATTGATTCAGTTAATGCTGGTGGATTCCCAGTTAACAACAAAACAGCTTTAATTGCATGCGTTGGCCCACGTTCAACTTTCATGAGACATCAAGCAGAGTTCACACCAAAGACTAATCCATCCAATACATGGGAGTTTAACTACACCAATTCATCAAGAGCATCTTTTGTTTTCTGTCTTTTCAAGAAGCATTTGTTCGGTGGAGATGAAGAGATTGGTGAGATCGAACTCCGCCTTTCAGCCTTCGAACTAAATACAGTTGTCAGCAACAAGTTCACTCTTAAGAGTCCAAATCCACGTATTGCTCCAGCTACAGCTGTTATCAGTGTTCATCTTTGCGAAGATGGAAGCTTCCCATTCTGTGCTCCTCTTGACGGAAAAGTTCTTTCCAACCCAGAAATCGAACACGCAAAGACATACTTCAAGTAAGATATTTAATATTTTTTGTTTGCAATCTATCTTAAATTCTTAAACTATCTTACATTATCATGTTACTTTTAAAATAACATCATTTTTTCCCTATTCACACATATTGATTCGTATCAACAAGATGTATACAAGCAAATATTATGAGAAATCTGATGTTCTCTTGATACTTATTTAATTTATATTATTTTTCCACATCTCAAATACATAAAATAGTTTATTGCATTGATATTCTGCCTTTTGTAGAAGGAATTCTCATAAGATTTAACCTATCTTTTATTAGAAACAATCAATTTTTAAACTAAAGTAGACTATCAAATTATATGGATTGAAAGATCAAAGAATTACTAAGAACAGAATCATTTTATATAATTTATCGTATCTTATGATTATATTTTGAAATTCAAATTTTTGGCTTTTAATAAAATCCGGCCATTAAGTAAATCATATTAACCAATTATGTGCATATGAAATTTTGGTTGATAAGTTAAAGATATAAAACTAATTACAATTTTAATAATATTATAAGACAAAAAAATGACAGTAATTACTTAAAGAAACTGAGTACAAATACAAAACAAGTCATTGTTAAGAAGAATTTTGCAACTGCTTCCATCGGTATTTTGAGCGGCGAACTTGGTACTAAAAGGGTATATGAAAACGATAAACCTGTTTCACTGGCGAATATAGCTCCAATTTTCCAAAGCGTTTTTCTGGTTCTTACTTCTCTAAAGGCGATATATGAGATAATTGCTGCGCATAAGAAACTTAAAGCAACAAGAAGATTGAGGAGAGTTTTTCTACCAGGATATTTGAAGTCTAAAACATCATCCCACTCTTCTGTTTCGACATCATCTATTCCATCCATTGGAAGAGTCATAGATTTTTGACGCTTTGTCAAATACATTGTCAAAAATGATCTAATTGTGACATTTTTTTTTGAGTTTTAAATTATCTAATTGTTGATGAACGTATGAATTAAAAGCGCATGTTTTAAATAGGAAATTAATCATTTCCTCTAAATTCAATTTGATGGATGATATTTCTCAATCAGGGGTAGCTTTTAACATTGATACATTCGAAGCAATCGTTAATATAATGCGTCAACAAGATTCATCCGACAAATTAGAAGAAGAAAGGAACAGAGTTGCAGAAATTTTGAATCAATTTATTAAACGCGAAGACATTTTTTCATTTTCAATAGAAGCACTTCAATCAAATATGTCTGCATATTCAAAATATTACATTGTTCAAGGAATCCGCAACTCAATAAAAAAATTTTGGGAAATTCAATCCGAAGAATTTCGCGAAGAGTTCAAATCATTTTTCTTCCAATACATAATATCCATAGTTCAATCTAATTCTGCCCATTACCTCATTGAAATCTGCAACAGCGCCTTAATTGATATTTTCTTTTTTGATTTTCCCGATAAATGGCCAGATATTCTTCAAGATTTGGTAAATTCATCCGAAGTATCTTTACAAAATTGCATTAATGTCTTCAAAATACTCACTTCTATGTGCGAATTTATAAATGAAACAGAGTCTAACTACATAACTGTTAAAAGGAGCATTGAAGTCAAGACAGCATTCAAAGAATACACGGAAAACATAATCAATTTCGTCATCAAAGCAGTAGTTTCTTCTGAAAATGACGAACAAATCAAATCTGGACTGATATCATTACGCCAATTAATAGGATTCTTAAATAACGAGCAATACTTACGTGTTGACATATTGAATCCTATATATTCTATATTAGCAAGGACAGATAAACATGGAATTGAAATTATTGAAATTTTATCTGATTATATTTCACTTTTACATGATGTAGAAGGGTCAGAAGAATTGCAGAATACGACATTTAATGTCACAATTCAGGTATTTAACTATCTTGCCGGTGAAGATTTTTCAAAAGCTCCAGAATTGCTTGAAAATGAAGAATTCCAATATACTTTTATTACAGATCTAACAGATATCATATCTCAATTAATGGAATATGTAAATACTCAAGAATTCTTCCAACTTTTGAGATGGGTTTATATAATGACAGAAAATGCACCAGAAAGAATTGCAAATGAGATAATTACATTCTGGTCGAAGTTTTTACGCCAATTGGCAATCGCTTATATCGATGATCCTCAAATTAATGAGACTATTGAACAATTTTATCATTCTTTGAGACAAGAACTCATTTACCTTGTCCCACAACCTTTAACAAGTTCAAAATACCTCGACGATGACGAAAGAGAGAAGAATACAATGATTTCAATGGGATTAATCACAGTTGACTTTTTTCCGCCTCGCGAATGCATTACATTGCTAACAAATAAAAATCCAGATGATATGATATCAATTATTCTGGACAATTTCAAAAATTTGGACTTAGAAAAATTAGATCTCAAAAAATTCACAGGTTTATTGTTTTCTTCAGGGCTCGTAGCAATATCATTGGATCCAGATTACTTAGATACTTATTTAAAGGAGCTATTCCAGATTTTGTTCGGATTATCTGAACAATTTTCAGATCTCCAAATGAAATACTTGATTGCGAAAACCATATGCTTTGTTACATGGTCAATGAACAGATACTTAGATATTCCCACTAATTATGCAATCACAAGAGCATTAATTCTGAAAATTTTGGATTTCATGGTCGAAGATGATTTCGAAATGCAATTCTACGCAATACATGCTATGAAACAATTAGGAATCAAATCAAGAAACACTCTCACAAAATCTCCTTCAGAAGATGAAAAATCTTTACTTCAAATTTTTTGTGAGAAAACCGATGAAATTTCTGAAAAACTTTACATTGAAAATTTACCAGAACTTTATGATTGCTTAGGATTATGGATACCGCGTAATCCTCCGGAAAACGAAGTTTTTACTGCTTCTTGGGTTTGGGATCATTTAGCTGAAAGAATTTTGAATTTTATTTCCAATTCTCCCTTGAATAATGAGCAAGAACTGCAACTTTTGGTAGCACAAGTCAAAGCTATGGCGAATATCGCAAACTTTTGTAAGATTCCTTGTTCAGATATGATGAAAGAATTTTTTGAGGCATTATGTCAACTTTACTTGACATTTTCTAATAAACTTGTTGAGTCTGGTATCTTTGATGATGATAATTTGAACCAGTTTGGCCTCTTAATCGCTTTAATTAAGTCATCAATAATGAAATTGTTTGATAGAACAATTTCGAACAATCCAGCAAAGAATGAGATATGCAGTAATGTTATTATTCCTATTACATTTAATCAAATCGTTATTGATTATGTAAATTTGCCTCCAATTGGAAGAACTCCAGAAGTATTCAACTTAATGAATAGTATATGCAGAAAACACCAACAGAATTTCGTTGAAAACCTTCAACTTGTGCTTACAAACCTATATCTACCAACAGTTCAAATGTTTGGAGATAATTTTGATTCTTTCTTGAATGTGAGGTTTTCATTTTACGCGTTTCTGTCTAATATGTGTACTATTAACCAGATTTTATCTAAATTAGGCGAAGAAGGCTCAGATGAAGTATTAAATTGCCTTGAAAACGGAGCAACAAATCCATATGAGCGAATTTCAAATAATGCACTTATAGGAATTATTAATTTATTCAATGAAGCATACAAAAGTATGAAATATGATGAAATTTCACTTAAATTCATTGAAAAACATCTTTTAGATGAAATTTGCTTTATGTTCAATATGTTAATTGATCCAACTTACAAATGTACATTTGATCGCCAAATTTCAGCCATTTCTAACCTTTGTTCTAGAGAATACGCACAAGCTCGCGCAGAAGAGATCTTTTATAGAGTTTGTAGTCTGTTCCCTAACAGACCAAGCCAGGAAATAGGCGAGATCCTTCATAATGCTTTTACTTCGTTTAATACTTTAATTGATTTGAGGAATTCAGTTAAATCCTTCGTTATCTCTGTAACTCAAATCTCTCCATTGGATCCAGACTTGAACAAGCAAGAAGCCAAAGAACAAGCAGCTAAACTTGCAGAACAATTTAAAGATGTGACAGGATATGTATATAATCAAGCTGAGGAATCAAGCAATAGAAATCACCTTGATATTGCTCAAAATGTTTCTTCTATTACTATCTAAAACTTTATTTGTATTCTTTTTCAATTTATCATTTATTTTTGAACTTCATGTATTAGCCAAACATCATGAGAAGCAGTGTACTTTACAAAAGGTATTCATTATAGAAATCGTCTTATTTAAGTATTTATAATTCCATTTCCTGCGTAATATAGATGAGATAAACTTTTCCCCCTTTGATTGGTACATTTAGCCAAATCATATATTTCTGTTTGATGCATCGACCAACTCATAGAGGATTTCAATAAAATTAATTAAATATCTGTTATTCTTGACTATAAGGTTTCTGTATGTCAAAATATTTATTAAAGTCATTAAAAATGTATGGTATTATTTGAGATATAAAAGAGAGATTAGCAGAATATGAAGAATTCATGATTTGGATATTTTCTATAGTATCATTACAACATACATCCATATGTAGAATTGTGTGGATCTATTTTCTCATATTTTGTTAGAAAATTTGAAAATTGATAAATATTATGACCTATTTTTTTATTAGCTTCTAAATTATATTTTAAAAATCTAAGAAATTCATTTAATATTGTGCATTTTTACAAATTTCCAATGAATAATTTGATTTTAATCTTGAGCTTGTCTCTTACATCTAACAACGTACTTAAATACATATTCTAAGACGTCCTTTGCAGAATAGTTCTGTGGAAATTTCTGTCCGACGTTTAATATCTTTGCAGCCTGCATAATGAACTTTTCGATGTTCTTTGGTGGCGTCTTTTGTGCAAGCATAGCAAGTCTTGCTGTTTTAGACGCGAATATTTCGTTTAAGTCGAAAAGTTCGAGGACAGGTGGCTCTGGCTCTTTCATCTGTGGAGGGAAAACAGCTGGTGTACGAGGAGGTAATGCAACATCGAAAACTGGTGTAACAATGTCCAATTGTTCGTTCTTAACTCCTAATGTATTAGCAAGATTTGCAATATCAGCAACAAATCTCATATCCATGCTAAATTTAGCCTTATCGAAGTTATCAATAAGATTAGGCTTCAATTTCTCTGATTCTTGTATGCAAGGCCTAAGGCGTTCAGACATACTAATTGTATCAGGAGTAAACCATCTTTCTGTAACTTCTGGGTTGTCGGCATCAATCTTGTTGAGTTGTGTGCTTCTGACGAGGATAAGTTGTATTAAGAAATTAAATAATTGCTCGTTTTGTTCTTTACGGAACCATTCGTCGCCAAACATAAGTGGAGAGCCGATAACTGTAAGAGTACCTTTTTCTACGGATGTGAATGAAATTACTGGGCAGTTTAATGGATAAGCTGATAAACCGGAAGAAATGATTGGAACAGATGGACGATTTACCTCAAGAATGCAACCATTTGGAAAAGCAAATGAGGCTTTGTCATCCTTAATGAATTCTGTAATTGCATGGTTGAGAATACCGTGTTGAATACTGACTTGATGAGGATCAATGTAGTTAATGTATACTGGAGAAATAACAGGTTCAGTAACTTTAACACCGTATTGGCTGATAAAAGCGTTGAATCCTGATGGGAAGTTCTCAGCACCAGCAATGATTACGTTTCCACCGTTTTTGAGGAAAGACTGAAGGACAGATGCTTCATCCTTATTGAGGTCGTTGCGAGGACCCATAAACCAAATGCTGTTAACTCCTTTAAGAAGATCATTTGTGATAGGATCTTTTGAAGAGCGAACTTCTGATATTTGAGATAGTGAATTGCAAAATATACCTAGGCGCTTTTCTCGTCTAAGGTACTCGCGATGGCCTGCATCAATTATTGAAACGTATGTAGACATCTATATTTTAACGTTATAAATTAATTCAATGATTTACATGACAAAATATTTTATGATTTTTTGACATTTGTCAAAAATAATCATGCTTGTTCATAGATGATTATGATAATTATGGGCATTTGGAACAAATACAATTATGAATAGATCTAAGATAGCAAACGTAAAAGGAAAAGAAGGATAATTACTTTAAAAAATTAAAAAATTATATCACAAAATACTATTTTAATGAATATTTACATTCAAACTCCATCAGACTGTGTTTTTTCTTGTATTAATAGGATATGATTTCTCAAAGATACATTCACTAGGCGATAACAGTAAAATGGGATGAAAATAGGATAAATAGCATCCCTATATAGTGCCTAACAATATTTATACGGGCCAAAAAAATTTGGCTAGAGATTTGGCGAGTTATAAAACTTAGAAAATTGAGAGGGGTTTTTATTTTTGAATTTTTTTTGGAAAGTTAAAATTGCGATTAAAAATCGATTTCCAGGAGAACTAAGCATCTCATCATATATTTAAATCGATAAAAATATTAAATAATAGTTGAGTAGTATAACAACGTGAAATTATGGCTGAATCTACAGAAAAAATGAACATATTTGACATTTTTGAAAATTCATACGTTAGATGGTGACAGACTCATAAACTATACTTTAGCTAAGATTGATATATGGTTTCAACAACACATGGTTAAAATCGTAAAAATATTTTAGATTTCAAAAAGATATATATGGTAATATAATGGAACAAAGTCAACAAATAGCATGTTAAATATGTTATAATTAACTTTTTATTAGATCCAATAGTAGATATCGAATGGTTTCCAGCTTTATGGTTAAATATTTTCTTTTCGAGCTTCTCTTTAACTGTTGTATTAAGGTTGTAAATTTTTGATGCTAGAAACTATGGAATCTTCTTTGCTGCTGCATTTTTCTTGAGAGTTCTTGCAATTTCGAACAGATCTGCGCATTGTATGAAATGGAGGCTTTAAAATATCTTGAAAACAGAATAGGACTGCTTTTCCAAAGGAATGCTTACTTGTAAATCAGAGAGTTTCAAAATTGAGAGCAAGATTATCATCATAACTTTCGATTTTGCTGCGAAAAAGGAAGACAAGTAATTAACAAATCATTTACTGTTGTTCATCAAAAGAAGAAAACTTTGATAACAACTAATGATGATAAAATCAAGCTATCTTTTAATATTTTAAATTGATAAGACATTCAAAATATTTGAATGGTTTAAAATATTTCTTTTAATTTCTATAAGATATTATCATGATTATATAATAAAATTTAAATTTTTATTCAAAAAGGCAATATTTCAAACTTTTAATTTCAAAAATCTTAATTCTGCAATAAGTGTATTTAATTGTAGCAAATTTAATGATCCTTCGTCATGCTTAGCAATTTGGAACTCATAAATTAATGATTTCTTCAAGTAAAATTCTGCATTATTTCAAAAGTCAATAATTCTCTAGTAACTTTTCTTCAAACCCTAACCATTATATTATATGTATAATGGAGAATAATTGCAAAGAAAGATAGCCGAATTTACTGGGTAGTTCTTGTGATGCGAAATAATTGCAAATTAACACCTAGTTTTAACAGCATCAATCTCTTTTTGCTCTCATCTAAATGCATTCGCACACTTTAATTTTGAAATATAAGAGTTTTGGAAATTATCAAATTTATCTGCTCAAATACTATAGATCTTCATAAGTGTTAATAGAATCATTAGCCTTACATATAGTGTTTAATATAATGATGCACATTATACTGGGATTCATTCCTTATTCATCTAGTTATTATAAGATTTACAACCCCATGAAAATTTAAAATTTTGTCAAAAATAGTGAATGTACCTTTGATTTCTCCTTTTTCAAGTGTTGCGTTGAAATCTGAAAAAGAAAACCCTATTATTTTCTTGTGGTTACTTGATTTTTAAGATAGATATTCTGTAAAATGAATTCCAAACTTTCTTTCTAGTTTAAATTGATAAAAAAATTCAATTTATCAGTATGGAATTAAATAATTGTTAGCATTTGTAAAGTCCCAGTAGTATATTGGTTAGAATAGATCCTTGACACGGATCAGAGGCCAGTTCGATTCTGGCCTGGGACATTTTTTAGTCTTATTATATTTGTCACGTTTTGTAGAAATTTCAAAATTTTGCGAAATAACGTATTTTTTTGCTGGTATACTTTTTTTGTTAAGTTAAAATGCCAATTTTGGTAGAAACACTTCATTCCATTTTTTTCTTTATTAGCCCCAACTGAGATAAGATATTGAACAATTTCAAGATGACCATTTCTTGAGGCCCAAATGAGAGGAGTAGATCCAAAATTATCCTTTGCTTCTTTATTTGCTCCAACTGAGATAAGATATTTAACAACTTCAAGATAACCATTAAATGTTGCCTCAATGAGTGGAGTAGATCCATCATTACTCTTTGCTTCTTTATTTGCTCCAACTGAGATAAGATATTGAACAACTTCAAGATGGTCATTTTCTGATGCCCAGTATAGAGCCGTACCACCAAATTTGCTCTTGATTTCTTTGTCACAGCCACATTCAATGAGAGATTTAACAAGTCTCAGATTTCCTTGTAAAGATGCATAATGAAGTACATTTGTTCCAGAATAAAAATAATATTGTTTTTTCCAAAGTTTTTCTTCACATGCTTTTAGCATCATTTTTTTACAGCTCAAATATCGATCAATTAAGGGAACCCTGTTAAGAACATTTTCTCAGAAAAATTGAGAGGAAAATTCTAATAATCGTAATCAGCCAAAACCAAAAATGTACTTTTACTCCATATATATTTAAGATTTTTCTACCCGAATGAACATTTAACACTTCTATAAAGTACTTAATAAATGGACAAAATATTAAATAAATATTTCTCATATTGACAGATTTTGAATATTTTACTTTAAAATTTCAGAATTATATTATAGGGAAAAAAGCTGAGCACGATAGTTTCAAGAATAATTTTCCCCGTGCAATAAAAGAAAATCAGCAATTTCTCTTTTATAGTTCATATTTGCGATATAACGAGGTGTTTCACCATTACTATCTTTTTCATCGATATTTGCTCCTTGTGAAAGAAGGAGTTTCGCCAAATCTAATTTATCACAACTTGCAACATAATGAAGAGGTGTTTTTCCATTTTTATCTTTTTCATTAATATTTGCGCCATGTGAAAGGAGAAATTGAACCATTTCTATACCAGAATTATACACTGCATTATGAAGAGGCGTTCTTCCATTTTCATCTTTTTCATTGATATTTGCACCTTTTGAAAGAAGGAGTTTAGCTGCTTGGATACTTGCAAAATCAGCTGCCCTGTGAAGAGAAGTTTCTCCTTTTTTATTTTTTGCATTTATAGATGCACCATGTGAAAAAAGAAATTTAATCATTTTTTATCATCTTTACATGCTGCAAGATGAAGAAGTGTATCACCATTTCTGTTTTTTTCATTGACATTAGCTCTATATGAAAGAAGAATCTTAATAAGTTTTTTATTATTGTCTAACATTGCATCGTAAAGAGGCGTTCTTCCATTTTTATTTTTTTCATTGACATTTGCACCATGTGAAAGAAGCAGTTTAATTGCATCTATATTATTAAAATGCATTGCCTTATGAAGAGCGATTTCTCCATTTATATCTTTTTCATTTATATTTGCACCATGTGAAAGTAGAAACTTAATCATTTTATTATTGTTATAACTTGCTGCAAGATGCAGAGCAGTATCTCCGAATTTATCTTTTTCATTTATATTTGCACCATGCGAAAGAAGCAGCTCCATTAATGCTATATTATTTAAATGGACTGCAATATTAAGTACTGTATTTCCATACGAATCTTTTGAATTAATATTTGCACCAAGAAATAGGACGTTTTCGCAAAGAGATGGAATATCAAACAATGGTGAATAAATGAGGCAGCTGTTAACATCATTTGTGATATCTAAATAAACTAAAAAGGATTCAAGATTATTGTAAATTTCGCAGTATTCTAAATTGATCTCTATATTGTGTTCATTTCTTAAAAATGTAACAAAATCAATGTTGTGCGAAATAATTGCATATTTCATGCATTCTTTATCTGGTTTTTGATATTTCAAACATTCACTTATGATATCTGGATTTCCTCCTAAAAGTAAAAAATATAGACATGTTTGAGTTATTTCTGATTTAAAATTCGTTCTTAAGAACTTGAAACAATCAACTGCACCATAATAACAACATAATTCAAGTAATGAATATCCATTATCAGAAATTGAATATAATTTGCTTTTTAGCACTTGATTTTTATTAAACAATTCATTCTCAGTGAATGAAATGAATCTTTTTAAGTCATTAGATGCAATTGCGCCATAGATTGTATTTGCTGCATAATAATCTAGATCTGCAATAATCTCTTTATTGAAACAATCTGACATCTTTAATTTAACCTGATTGTCTTTGAATAACATGCATTTACAAGTTTCTGGAACAGTTTTGATATCTTTTACACGATAATCTTTGGATATGTGTTGCACAAGTCTCATGTAAGACTTGGCATATCTGTTGTTATACTGAATGATTATTAAAATATCTCTTATTATGTTTTCGATTGAATATTTCTTTGAATCAATTAAGTTTAATTTGATCATATTATAAATCTTCTTTAATTCATCTTCATTTTCCGTATTTAGCCGGTATAAATCATTATATAAATCGATATAATATTTAGATTTACTTCTTAACTCACTGTAATTATTTGAAAAATTGATTTGATTAGACATTCTAAAATTTTAAAAGTCATCTTATACTCTACACTTCATAAAATTTTCTTGATATTTATAAACACATCATAATTCACTTTATTCAAAGGAAAAAGATGTTGTAAAATGTAATGCGACATTTGGTTGGATCCATTCCATCTCCAGAATGTGTGATTGATCATGACTGAAAAATAAATATACATTTATTTATCAAAAAAGAATGTTTTACTTCAGAATCGTATGTAAATTTTTAGTTTCTGCCATTTTGTCAAAAATATGTCAAATGTCAAAAATTGATTCATTCTTCAATGAATCAATTTCAAAAGAAATGGTGCTTAGATTTATTATCAGAGCTAATGAAAAATAAGCTTTCATATCCATTTCATGATTATCTTGGTGCGGGCTTAACAATTATGCGCCCAACAAACGCAGATCGCGAGGCAGAAAACAGATGCAAGCTAACACTGAAGAAAATTAAAGAAAATTTAATTAAGGACAGATACAAAAAGATGCAAGACTTCGGAAATGATGTCAATGAAGTTTGGAAATACGTTTTCAATAATTTTAAGGATAACTCTATATTGTTTATATCCACAAAAATTCTTTCTGATTGGTTCAAGTCCAAATTCGATAACAGACCGAGGACAGAAACAGAAAAATGGATCAAAGATGCCCAACAATTACAAATAGATTTAGATAATCTAATTAAAAGCTTCGATAAGAAGTAACCATACCTATATTCATACAGTTGTAAAAATAAAATTGTTCTTTTACTTATATAAAGTGATTACTGAACCAGTAATAAATTTTTTTGACATTTGTAAATTATAAACATTATTATGGCAAAAATTTTTTTCATAATTTTTTTTTCTTATGTCACATCCAGAATCATCAAGCGAAGAAGTTACTAAAACTGTTAAAGAAAAAGAGAAAAAGAAAATACATCGTTCTTTATATGGTAATAGACACGTTCCTACAACTCTTCCGAGTTATAGTGATCTAAAATTTGGAAAATGCATAGGAGATGGTCATTTCTCGCATGTTTATCAAGGTTGGTATCGAAATCAACTTCCTTGTGCAATTAAAGTTTTAGAAAGAGGTGATAAACAATTAATAAATAACGAAATCTCACTATTGCAAGAACTTAATGGCGAACCAAATATTGTACAACTTTATGATGTTCATCGTGATGATGTTACAGTACTTGTTTTTGAATTAATACATTCATATCCATTAGATGATTTATTTGCGTACATCACTGTTGACGAGATCAGAAAACTAGTGTATGGACTGCTTGTAGCTTTGCAAGCTGCTCACAAACATGGTATAGTTCATCGAGATCTTAAAATAGCAAATATAATGGCTTCAAAAGATCTGTCTGTAGTCAAGTTAATTGACTGGGGATGTGGCGGTCGCGTTATCGAAGGTAAAATGCTTGTTAAAGCCGGCTCAAGACTTTGCAGATCGCCAGAAATGCTTCTAGAAGATCCAAATTACGGATTTGGATGCGATATTTGGGCTGTCGGTATTTTGATATTAGATATTTTGACAAATGGACGAATCCCTTGGAAAGCTAAGACTGGAAGTGAAATTTTGGTCCTTATTTCGCAATTTTTCGGAAAAAAGCAAATAGTAGATATCGTTGAACGAGCAAAGATTCCATATCCTAGGAAGCTAAATCCCAATGATTTACACGAAAATCCAACAAAAGATCTTTTATATTCTCTTGATCCAGCAAATTTCCAGCTCTACGATTCGAAACTTCTGGATTTGATGTTCAAGCTACTTACAATAGATCCTGAACTCCGCCCAACAGCTACAGAAGCTTTGGCCCATGATTTCTTTGACAAAATCAGAGAAACAACTCTTGTTTCCGAGATTTTTGAGTAATATATTTATAAATGTTTGTATTTGTGCGTTAAGTTTTTCTAATTTTTTTTCCCAAAATTATATTCCCAAAAACATCACATGATATACACTATTTATCTGGAAATTTTCTGGATTAATTGAATGTGTTTCTAAAGTTTAAAATATAAGATTGTATTTGTGGATTTCAACTATATATCGATTATATTTTCTCAAAAACATCACATGATATCCACAATTTATCTGGATTAAGAGAGTATTGATTCAGAAGTTTAAAGTAATAGATTGTATTTGGGGATTTTCTCCAAACTTCGATTTCTACATATACACACTGAATATAGTCATTAAATAGACTTTCATGACAAATTATTGGTTGGATAGATGCATGCACAACATTGCGCCAATACAAAATCAGATTAATTAACTAATATGTCAATGAAATCGGTAAAAATATGAAATAAAACTGTTACTGAGTTAATAGTCGTAATAATATCCAAAAATCGAGAATCAATTCTTATAAAATCTGTCACTTTTCCAGAAATGTCATCGTCTTCGTTTAAATCCAGTTCCTTTGATACTGGTGATGCTATTTCCAAAACATTCCCTTTTGGAAGTCCAAGCGGTGTATCACCTCTTTTAGATCAATCTAATGATGAAGAGAAAATTCAAAGAATTCCGCTTCCGATTTCACTGGAATACGATTCAATTAGAGAAAAGTATTTCAGTGATACAAAAGTCGATCGTTCGAAATGGGTTGCAAAACTTTTAAATGAACATCCAGAAATTAAAGAATTACGTGATAGAGTTTTACCTCTTGACAGAGCTATAGAATTCGGACGACTTTATCTCCCAGATGACAGGCTAATTGATCACACCGAACTACTTTCACTTGTTTCTCAGCATTTAAGAACACTTGGTTTAATGGAAACACAATCATCGCTATGCTCTGAATGGGATATGCTTTCCAATATACCAGATAATCTTGATCACTCTCAACTTATGATCATTCTTCAACGCGGAGTTTTAAACGCCGAAAAGTTCTGGAATCTGACAATGCCCGGCACTACTCCAATAGAAAAAGAGCAAAATGCAAAGAATACACTACAACCAGAAATTGCAAAGATTATTGGTTCAAATCCAACTCTTTATTACGGAAAACCTCTTCTTGAAGACAGGTACAACGATCAGCCAATGACAACTCCCAAATACACAGTATACTCTCTCAACCAGATCATTTGGATTTGCACAACTGACTCTCCAACACGTACTCCTGAATTTATTGACATCTTTTCTTATCCGTACGTCACAATTTGTGAACCATTAGTTGTATTTTCGAAATTACAAGAAAGATTCCAGATCGCTTTTTCAGAAAACGAACATGCTGTCGAAAATACATTTAATTTCTTCCTCCAATGGTACAGGAACTCCAAACCAATCATGGATTCCAGACTCATATCTACCATTAAGTCATTTGTTAATACCGAATTACGCAGCAAATACATTTCTCTCTCAGAAAAATTTTATGAACCATTACCACCTCCAGAACCAATAAACTACGACATTTCTCCTACACCAGATCTTGGAGAAAACCCGTTCTCCCTGTTTGTTGGCCCATTCTCCCTTCTCTGTCTTACTCCGAGAGAATTTGCGAGACAATACACTTTATATACACAAGAAAGGTTCTTAAAGATTGAGCCATGCGAATTTACATACATCCAAGACTGGAATCGTGCAACAGAAGTCTTTCCAAACATAAAATTCCTTCAAGATTCTTTTGATATTATTGCATCGAATGTTACTATGTGGCTTACGTATCCACCAAAAGGTTTCAGCTACATGGACATCCTTGTTTACTTCATAAGAGTCGCGAAAGAATGTTATGACATCCAATCATACAATTGTATGATGGCTTTGCTTCTTCCAACGACAACTCCGTTCCAGTTGGATGATTTGGCAAGAGCCATGCCTGATTCTAAGCTCAAGGACTTCTTGAATCTGAATTTGAATTCAATCAACGGCAGATTCGAGAAATTGTTGAATCTCTATAAGACAGCGTTGGCAACATCTGCACCAACAATGCCTTTCTTCATGATTTACAAGAATTTCTTCACTTCTGCTGCAAGTGGTATCAAAGATGGCATTAGAGAGTTCACAATCGAAGGAAAGGTTGAGTTTTTAAGCTTAAAGAAATATTACGCATGGGGAGAAGAACTCAGAGCTGCTCAAAAGAGAAGATTTAATTTCTTGCCAATTAGTCAAGCTCAGGAAGCATTTTCTAAGCTGAAGAATCAACCAAATGACTACAATAATGATGCTGACTTCAAGAGATTCGTACAATCTCTTTCAAATCAATAGAAATTATTTTAATTTTTTAGTATTTTTTATGTTTATATTGTTCTAAACAATTTTTGTAAATTTACATCGTATTACTTAATTGTTTATCAATGAAACTATCTGACAAAAATATTTTTTTCAAAATTTATCGAATTGACGTACGATTATATTAACATTGACATTATATAGAAACTTCTGTTGATATCAGAGGTTAATTTAGAAGAATATCTCTTTGATTCATCGATCATTATATTATTTCTATGAAACAATGATTAGTATTAAAAATATTAAGATCGACGCATCTAAATAATAGAAATCATAACAATTTTTTAATTAATCAAAGTACAATAAAATTAAATTTAATAAATTATTTCGAAATTGAGGGACAAAGATATAATATGAATCTTTCCAGATATTTTGTGCATTGTCATCAATCTTCGTAGACGAGGAAGTCGAAGAAGTAAAAAAAGTTGAATATTAAACAAATATTCTATTGCATTACTCTAACATTACTCGATAACTAATGATTTTTCTATGCGGAAAGATAACACTTATCAAATTTCGGAATTGAGAAAATAATTATCGATAATTTTGTAATAATCTATGAAATATATTATAATCGTATTCTAATTATTGTGCAAGAGCTTCTTTTGCTCGTTTGATCATGTCATCAACAGGTGCTGGTGGTGCAGGTCCACAAGGTTGAACCATTTTATCAATTAAATTCGTTTTAACAACAATTTCTGGTTGTCCAAGACCCATTGATTGATAAGAAAGGAAACCTGGTAGTAAAAGGATTGTGGCCAATGATTCTCTAACTTGATTTTCACGCCATTCACGTTTTCCAGTATCTGGGGTTCCAGTATCTTCATTTTGAAGTTGTTGTTGTTCATTCTTTTCCCATGCATATGCTGCTGTCGCTGATCTCTTCATTTTTCAATTTGATAAAAATGACACAATTCAAAAATAGATATATATAATATGATGATTGGACAATGATAAAAATATTTATATCGTTTAAAATTGACAAATATTCATAATGGATTATAAAGAACCGATGATACCAAAAGATGAAAAAACAAGCGCTGTATTTGATTTCCATTACTTATTTAGGAGTGCCGAAATTGTTAGCTTTCATGAAAACAAAATTACTTTTACACAATCAGAAATTCAACAAGCATTCCAAGAATTAAACGAAAATGAACCACCGTCTACATTTATTTCTGCTATGAACCTTATAAAATACTTAATATCTGATCCAAACTTAATTCTTTCATTTGATGAAAAAATTGTTTTCACATTTATAGAAATGTTTCGTAACATTTTATTTCAAAGACAATGTCTCATTATATTTAATCTGATTTTTCAAGTCACATCGCAATTGAACTGTTTGAATCCAATTATTGAAAGTGATTTCTTTCAAATATTAGAAAAAATCATATTGCAAAGTACCAATAGCGATTATGAATCATTTCAAAATGCTTGTTCATGTTTCTGTTATATTTGTGAAACTTCAATTCCAGAATTTCAAAATGCAATTTTAAACACAAAAATATTAGAGTTTTTGAGAACCAACTATTCAGAAGATTCAAAATTCAATCAATGCCAAATACAAACTATAGTTCGCGTTGTTAAATCAAATTGGAATGAAACAAATTTTGATCCAATTCAATTTTTTAGTGAATGCGCAGTATCATCATTCTTACAAGCAGGACCATTTTGGTCTGGTTATGGTGCTCAAATTTTAGCAGCATTTATTGAAAGAAATGTCGATATATCAGGAGAATTATTAGGTATTTCTGGATTTTTCCAAAATTTGATGAGTTACATAGAAGATTCGGATTTAGATCTCCGTAATTCTGGTTTATTATTACTTAGTCGCATTACACTTTTTTCAAATTTTTCAACAATTCATTCATCGCGTGAACTTATTGAGAAAATATTCTTTATATTTGAACATTATCCTACTGAAGACTCAATATTAGCAATCTGTAATTTAATTGAAAATTCGAATCAAGAATCACTAAAAATATTAATAGATACTTTCCCTTATGAAACATTTAATAATGCATATTCTGAATGTGATATTAAATCGAAACCATCAATGATAAAAATTTCAAATTCAGTAACACAGACAAAATCTTCACAATTTATTGATAAATTTTTCAATCCTTCCCTTATAAATGACCTTTGTGAACTAATTAGTTTACAAAATATTGAGTACACAATTTCAATCATTAATATCTTAGATGATGCAATTAATATAATGCAAAATAATGATTTTCTAACTAGAATATATGAAACTTTTGATCAAAATGATACATTTGATGAACTTGAGGATTCATCAGATGAAAGACTTCTTCAAATTTTAGAAAATTTCAAAAAGCATTTTGAACCAACCTAGAGAACCATATGGTGACGATAGAAATTGAATAGGAAGTTTAATTTTCCAATATTTCTTTTAATTTTAGTTATGTAACTCTCAATCTCATGATGGTTTTATAACTCTCAAAATTAAAATTAAAAAAAAGTGAACAATCCCTCTATAGTTGCAGCAGACCCTTAGGCTTTATAATTTTCAGGGTACGGGACAATTGAATAATTATGCATTCACATTACAGACTTGTTCAAAATTGGCATAGATATATTAGTTTCATTAAAACACAAACAGCCTATGCCATAATTAAAGAATTATTCGTTTATCAGGCAAAATATTAAAAGTAAAAAAAGTGGGAAATTGAGAGAATTTTGATCGTCTTTTTTTACTTTTTTCCACTCTAAAATAACCCTATTATTTTTGACACTTTACAAATCATTTTTGACACATTACGCGTCACCAGAATTTCGAAAATTATTTGACCAGGTCCTCAAATTTTTCTCTAAGCGATTTCCTTAGGCGTATCTCAAAAATTCAATCTAAAGACGATAAGCTCAAAGTGACATATTTATTAAATTTTCAAAAAATCAATGGACAGTGAATCTCTAACTTTTTTACCAGCACTAATTTTATTCTTAATATATTTTAGATTGTTACTGATGTCTTTGGTACCCAGTCAAAAGGGTTTCTACAATATGTTACTCAACACAAACAATGTAGAATACCTTAATTTCTTGTTTTAAAGTAGATCGTGTTTGGTTTAGAGCTTCACTTATTTTTCCTCAAAAAATAAACGAAAGGCATAACTTTAACTATGGATCATGGAAATTAGAACCTTCACAATTTTCAAATGTTGAAAATGAAGTAGTTATTTTTCTGTTGAAAGAAAAATACATATTAAATGATGAGGCAAATGAAAAATTCAAAGACTTTTCTCAGCATTTGCAACAGCAAGTGTTACCTAAGAAAGAACAGATTGAGTACGATGGCGCTGATACGCGCGTGGTTTTATTTAATAAAAAAAATTCGATAGTATTCAATTTTTTGACAGGTCAATTTGGTCAAATTTTATATAAGTTCTTCAGAATACTTGGATTGAATATGTCTTATGAAAAGCTATTCTGTAAACTGGTTGATAAATATATCGAAATTCCAGTTGTTAAAATTATCTCATTAGATAAAGATGAATATCAATACAAATACAACCGATTTGAAAGTGGTGCAGATGAGCTGAAGCTTAGATCGATAGATGATGGTGATATGACCAATCTTGATAAAAATGTCTTCACAACACTTGGAATAACTATATTAATATGTTTTTTGTTAATAAGCTGCCTTCGATTTATATCGTACGGGCCCCGCCTTCTCAATTTGTTTTAAAAAATAAAAAATAAAAAAATAAAAATAAGAGGCATTTTTTTGCTCCACCAGGAATTTGGTACAAAGACTTGATTTTCCATTCATCAGAGAGTCTCTTGAGTATTATAATGATGCCATCATTCCTGCCGATAATATAATAGCAGCCATTTTAAAAAGTGGTATCAGAAAAACTGCCAGAAAGGTGTAAATTTTCTCTGACTTCACAATTGATTTCATTTCTTGGTCGAAGTCAAAAACAGTTATTCTTGTTGAATGTGCGCATGCAACAAGAGAGTTTTCTTCGTTCGTTGCAAAGGAAACACTCAGAGGACGCTTGAAATAATCAGAAGCATCACAATCAATTAATAATTGGCGGGCCAGATTATTGTTCAAAACTAAAAAAGCTCCATTTTCGGTGACAGCTATTGTTGAAGGATCTTTTTCTCTGGTAGTCTAGCAGCTACACACTCATCTTTATCAGTATCATATATGAAAACATCAAAAACTGGACTTGCACCTGCTTTATCGAAGTCAGAACCTTTATCATGATTTACTTCGAGGTATTAAAGCTATATTTGATTTATATGAAAACATTAAATTGATTAGAATAGCAGTTTAATAAACAAAACAAAAATTATTGAGGCAATCCTAAGTATCTTGAAGGGATTGATTCATAATTGAACTCATTAGGATTTGGATTTCTATGCCATCTATAGAATTTCCACTTCAATGATATGGTTTGATCATGAATAGCGCAACCAGGATTCATTTCTATTCTTAGTGTATGGTTTCCTCTTTCGAAATATTGTCTGGAACTTTCGATGTAACTTGATTTAGGTTCGTCTTCACATGCAAATACATCAGAAAGACTACTTCCATTTATTTCATTGTCATCAATGAACAGTTTGCTTTCAGGTGTTGACTGTAAAAGGAACTGAAGATCTGTATATGTGGAACAAATAATGTTGATTCTATAATGACTTTTGAATAGGATTCACTCATCTCTATCATATCAAAGTTCTCAAAAACTTCTGATGTTGATATGAGATTATCATTATATTTTGAAATGAATTGAACTCCTCTTCTTCCTTCTTCAAAAGCGAATTGTGTTGTATCTTCACAGAAAATATTATCGTTAAATCTATCACAATAGCATCCAAGACCATCAGATGTTCTTCCATATTCTGGAGATCCGTTATTATTGCAAAAAGCATCATTCTTCTTTTCGCATGTATCCGTATAGAAACCTGGGAGACAATCATCTGTTAAACAATCCATGATAACAGCTTTTGATGAGTCAATTATGTTGTCATCCATTAAACCATGGCAATTTGGAGAAACTCCAGAATTTCCAGACACAACGAAAGGATAGCATCTATTAGCATATAAATAAAGATTTCCGTAATCTTTCTCGCAAAAACCCCATCCAAAACCTTTCTTAATATATACTTGATCATAATTAAATGAAGATGCAAGATTTGAAGTCGCTCTTGCAACAATATGATAATTCCTTGATTCCCTAGGACAAAATGATCCTGTAAGAGTGGTCCAATCATCTTTATTTGAATGATGAAAATAAGATGTTGAATTATCTTTGTGGTCAGAATTTACGTAATATTTTACCATTCCTTGATTGTCATTACTCTTGAATGAGCACTGGTTTGGCGGGTTGGGGAAGTCTTTGACCATAAGAAAGAACATCATATTGAAATATGCTTTCACTTAATCATAAATTATGATGCGACTTGGCGTCAATAATTGATTACTGTTATTTTCATTCAAGTTTTGATATTTTTACTTGATAAAATAATGTTCTATACATCATATTTGCTAATATCACAGTTACTCTAATATCAGAACTTTTCAATATACATATTGACTTATTAAAACATGATGGCGCAAATTTGCAATTTATTATATCCAAAATCCAAATTATTATTAAAGTTCCCAATTTGATCGTCTTTTGTGGTGATTATTCAATTAAAGAAAAATGAGACAATATGAAGAGTATAATAATCATAGAATTATATCTGGCAAAAATTTATCTTAATTCAATTTTGATAAAAAATAGTCGTTCAAAAAATTTGCGATTTTACGAAAAAGTGACATTTTTGAATGAAATTCAAATGCGCTAAATTTTAGTAAAATCGGCATTCTAGGAAAGATGAGCATTTTGAATAAAAATCGATTTTGTAATTGATTTTTCATTCAAAAAATGGCACGTTTTCCTAAAATTGATATTATAGACAATATGTTTTTCATATATCAAAAATATTTATATACATTTATTTTTCTGTTAACCTTAAAAATTATGACTAAGTGTTCGGAATTCAGTGTACCCATAACTCTGAAAAAAAATGCGAGTCATCAAATAAAGATATTATTACCATATGATAAGCCAAATTTATTTGCAAGCGAATATATTTTTATGAAATTTAATAACATTTCCAAATTTTTCGGGTTCAAAAATTGCTCATAGGTTCAGATGTCGATCTAATGATAGATTTTAGAATAAGCTTGTCGGACCGGTGATTTTTCGCCAGAACCGGAGATTCTTTCAAAAAAATTCGGGCCTCGGGCGATAAATCGCCCTCGGCCAAATTGCACATCAATTTATAGTTAGAGGTAATCAATTCCAAAAGGGCTCTTTTTTTCTTTCTTATTTTTTTGCACATTTATCTGTTTATGTCTTTAAAGCACTATCATTATAATGTATCCGTGTAAATATCACAAATATATTCAAAATTAATGGAAAAACGGCGATATTTTAAATAATTAAAAAATACTTAGAAAAACGGCGATAATTTTAAAAATCCAAAATCCGGCGGAGTTGATAAAAATTCCTAAAAATCGCCAAATCCGGAGATTCGTGGCGGTGATTCTTTTTATTTTGGAGATTCTGGACAAGCTTATTTAGAATGCAAACGAAAACAATAAAATCTCTTTGGGCTATTTTGGCTTCAAGAGACAAAAATATTTTAATGTAAAAACCCCCCAATTCTCACAAATGAGTACGATAGAATTTACAAATCTCCTCAAAACTCAATTTGAACCCTCCCAATTTGGAAACGTTTCTATTCTGCAAACATGATCCGTCTATTGCTCATTAATAATAAAACTTTCCAATGTAATTATTAATAAATTTCTTTTTTAAAATAATAAGATAAATATGACAATAAAAAAATAAAATAAAAATTAATTCTTTGGAATTGCTCTTCTTTCTATTAAAGTATAAGAGCTAGGTGTTAGCAAAGCAGAGAACGATGTTGAGAACATTTCCAATGTATCCCTTCTTACAAACAAAGGTCCAGACCTTGCAATTCCTTTAAATGCGTACATTGCATCATCTCCTTCGAACCTAACTACATCATCAGGTATCAACGCGGACATTCCAAGTGCAGGAGAACCAACTTCATATGTCTCACAACATTCTCCACCATTTATATCCGCTCTGAACAATAATTCCGCGTCTTCTATTTGTTCCACATATTTCTTTCCATCTCTTAATACGTAGAGCTTCTTATTTGATACTCCGGCGATTCTTCCTCTTGTATCATGCTCGAGAACTCTGTCTCCGGCCATCAGATTGTAAACTCTGTCATCTGTTGAAACACTCAACAAAATAGAATCTCCGTCTTTGAGTTTGAATGTTTTTCTCGCAACAGAAGCTGTTCTTCGAACTAAACTTAAGTCAATAACAGAAAATGGTGCTCCACCTATATCGGCAATTCGCATTTCATCGGTTTGAACATAAATTTTGTCACCTTTATAACCGATAACCGTTCCGATACCCATTGGAGTCAAAACTCTGTCTGTGCATTGGAAAATCATTCCTTTGCTGTAGACGGAGACATCAACTATACCATCAGGAGTGACAATGCGTCTCTTCTTGTCCTTGTCGACAAATGTTCGAAGAGTTTCAAGCCTCAAAGATGGAATAGAAAACAAAGAATTTGTTGCAAAATCTTTCATGACTAATCTGCAACTTAAAACACCAATAAACTCACATGCACCTCGTTCTGGGATTCTTAAGAGATCTCCGAGTGATGCACCGAGTTTGAGGAATTCGCAGAAGGAAGGAGTTCTGTCAACTGATGCTGCGACGCCATCGACAATTAATCTTTCGACGTTGTGGTCTTTTCTTGTGACAATAGACAGTCTACGAGGATCTGATGCACAATAGACCAATCTTGTGTTGGAAAATGGCTCAACCCAGACTCTATCATCTGATATTCCGACAACTGTGCTTCTTTGGCCATCATCTGTCTCTACAACATCGCCTGGAAGGAAGTTAAATGAGAATGATGTCTTGAAATCTGTATCTACGCCGATCAATCTCGATTCATCTGTGTAATAAATTCGTAATGAGTTGGGACCGTATTCTATTTTGGCTCCACCGCGTATAATATCTGTAAAATCGTTCATTGTGACTCTCCTGTTTGAAAGGAAAACGTAAGAATCGCATGCAAGAAGTAATTTGTGGCCATCTATTGTTGCATCGACGTTATTTAGGAATGTATGCTCAGGAGGAGGGATTCCAAGTGGCGATGATGGGTTTTCGCCCCTGAAAAGTATCAATGCAAGATGAGATGCCGTCATGCATGAAACATTGTAGGTACTGAGCTGGCTATTCAGCATCAGAACAGGACGTGTTGAATTTGTGTTCGCTGTAAGTACTCTGCCTGTCGCGTCTAAGCAGTATAAGAAACCAAAGAATGCGGCTTCAACGATATGGGTACCGTATGGTGCGATAATTTCGCGGACTTTAAGATTGTCTTCAATCATGTAAACACGGTTATCTGCTGAAACTGCAATAATACCACATGTAAGATTAAAAATCGATTGTGTAGTGAAATTGATCTCAACAGGCTTGAATTGGAGTTCCTTGGTTGATGAATAATAGAGTTTTCCTTGAATTGAAAGTACAAACAAGCCAAAATCAGTAACAGCAGTTGTAATTATTTTATCATCTGGAATTGTAGCCTTCTTGAATGATTTTGCGCTTTCGTAAAGGTAAATATCCGATAATCCTGCAGCAAAAGCGAAGAGTTCGAGATTTGAAGAAAGTCCTCTTGGAGATTCGGGGTTTGGAACAAGTTCAGATGAATCTTCAGTAAGAATAGATATTGAATTGCATTCGTGAAGTAAAATTGAAAAATGATTTCCGCAACTTATATCAAGAATTCTCGAATGTTCTGGTAAATCGACTTTTTTAAGCATGTTATTCGTATTTATGATATTATCTGATGATTGTGCATGAGATTCACCGTATGTATATAGTTCATTTGTATCTGTCAGTAAAATAAAGTGATTATCTGAAGAACTTGCAACAACAGGGAATAAATTATCACCATAGTAATGGGTGAGCTGTTCAGATTTCTTATAAAAAGAGAAGCGGGGCTCATTCCACTCCGCCATTCTATCGGCAAAAATTTCGTTTGTGAAGATAAAATAAAAAACTAGATTTTAGGCTGATATTTTAATAAATAAAATGGATTACTAAAATAAATGATTTTTTATATTGCAACATTAGCAAAATAACTAAATTTGAAATTGCAAATCGATGAATAATTAAAATCAATCATTAATACTTAGTCAATATATTTATTTTTGATTTATATGACTATTCATATCATTAAAACTGTCTTTATGTATTTAGTCCAAAATGATTCGTGAAGAAGATAACACTGGCTATGGAGAATTTCGGACAACAGATGTAGATGAACCTTCAGCTACTAAAGTATATCCTGTTCAGGCGTTTTTTGAATGCTTCCAAGCTTGTTGCGAAGCATTTCAAGCAAAAGATCTTAGATCTGTTTATTCAAATTTAGCAATTCTTTTCGATATTGTTACAGGACTTGAAGAAATTCCATTTGATGAACTAGAAAACATTGGCTTCCATATGTTTTTTAAGGAATTATTCTTAAATTATGATTTTCGGATTACTTTTCCAGATGCACTAAGAGTTTTGAATTTTATAGCAGCAAGCGATGGCTTCAATACAGAATTACTAGCAAATGAAGAATATTTCAACATTTTAATAGACGAAGTTTTACCTCAAGTAAAGAGACAGAACATGCCACTTGAACTAATATCAAATATCATATCAGGAAATTCACAAGCCAGAGATATTTTCATAAGTACTGATATAATTGAAACATTTATCATAAATACATACGATGAAAAGAAAGATCCTTTTTATTGGATTGCTGCAAATCATTTGCTTGTTACATGCATCATTACTACACCATATTTACCAATTGAAAGACTACAAATTATTTCAGATTTTGTTATTGAACATATTGTTGGAACAAAGATACTTAGTTCATCAATTATAGATGTTTTATATAGTATAATAGCCGTATCCACAGAAGCTGCAGTGTATATATTGCAAAAGATTCACAATGAAAATCCAGATTTTAATTTATTAGATATTATAAGAAATCTGAGCTCAGAATTTCAAATTAAGCTTTTAAAGTCCGTAGAGATGTTATGTACAATAGAAGAATTGGGCTATGCCGCTGATTTCTTTTGGCCATATATTTTAAATCTCCAAATCTTTAACAATACTCCAGAAATGATCACAGAAATATTTAATGCAGCAGTAGTTATTATTAGTATGGGTCCTCGTAATACAATTAGTGCTTTCAAGCGAGGTTTAGTTGATTCTTTAATAAATTATGCGCAAACAGCATCTTATTCAATAAGAGTTAGCGCAATTAAGTTATTATCTATTATAATAATGAGAGAATTATATATTCCTTGTGTTGGAATGACAATTATTAGATTTGGATTTCTTGATTTTGCAACGGACTTCTTGAATGAATTAGAAATTAGAAAATATATTATTAAGGCTATATTTTGCTTAGTTGTTCATAAGGTTGGAGAAGGAAGTTACGTTTCATTAGGTGAAATATTTAATCAAGAATTTTTTGATGCACTCATTGAAGGATATTATGAAAGTACATATGACGCTGAAGAAATATCAATGATAGAGTATATTATGAGAGTTTTTGGCTTTTTAAGACAAGATGATGAGGATTCTTATCATTTTGAACAACCAGAAGAAGACTTCTTTGATGATGAAGAATCTGCTGAGGAAGATGATGCAGAAGTTGATGCATCAGGAGAAATAATTACTCCAGTTTATAGAACTTTTCTCCATTTACGCAGAAAATATGGATTTTCAACAGATTTTGATCCTGAAGAAGGAAATGAAGCTCCTGCCGATCAATCACAAGATCAACAAACAGATTAGCTTTTATAATTTAATAATATTACTTGTAAACTTTAGTACTATCAAGTATCTTGATTATTTTTCATGTGATTATCGATATCGATATTTAAGCGATTTTAACACCAATGAGAATGATAAAACATTGCTTTAAAGATGTTAGAACCAATGTTAACATTGAACTATAAATTTCATGCAGATGCTGTTTTGTATTAAGAATATGAAACTATGATGCTTAGTATTAAGAATATTTTTATGTAAGTTTTGATAGGAATGTCTATCTTAGATGAATGTTATGTAAATGGTGTTTCTTCAAGCTCAACAAAATCACAACTTCGTTTTCAATCTTATAGTTTGCTCCACGCGTTATTATTTAATTTACATAAGAAATCATTATATCTGCTAAGGATTCATAGATAAGAGAATGTAATATTTATAATAATTCCATCCTAATCAAATTTCAAAATTTATATTTTTATAATTTTTTGGTAGAGATGAATAGAAAAATAAAGATTTTAGTAGCAATAAAATATTTTTACAGGTTAGAATCACTCTTCAGCTTTTTCTTTGGATTCTTCTTCTTCATTACGATGTTTCCTCTTGTGTTTGTTACCTTTATTCTGCTTTTTCTTTTGAATTTGTCTTGGTCCCATAGCCTTTGCAGCTTTTGCAAGTCTGTTTTGTATTAAATCTGGAGTTAAAGGCTCATCTGGATTTTCTGGTTCTTCTTCTTTTTTTTCTGCAGCTTCTTCCTCCTCGTCTACATATTCGTACTCGTCGAAGTTATCATCATAATAATCAACAATATAACCAGAAAGATGAACATCTAATTTGCCTTTGTTATGGAATTTAACGATATTTGCTGTTGTAAATACAATTGACAATTCTTGATTTTCGTGTGTAAATGGAACAAGAGATGCAATTAATGTTTCATCAGTGATATAAAAATTGTCTTCTTTATCATTTGTGGATTCTTCAGCTTTCTCTTCCTCTTCTTCATCTAATCTAAGAGTGTTAACAGTTGCAAATAATCTTACTGCTTCTTTTGGAGTATCATTTTGAACATCTGGAATAACAGCGTTTGTAATCGTAATAACTTTATCATTTGGACCTTCTAAAAACGCATCCTTTCCAGCTGGAACAATTTGTGACCAAAATGTTGATAAATTATGTGGTAAAGTCATATCTAATTTTTTTCTGACAATATGCTCTCATTTACAAATTATTTAGTTTACTTGTCAAAAAAATTATAATCTTCATTCTCATTGAAAATTAAACTAATTCCAAAGGTATTGAGAATTTGAACAAAGCAAACCAAATAAATATGGTGATTTAAAGACAGAAATGTAATATTTTACTCTAAATAACAAAAAATATAATTTGAATTACTGTAATTCAGGTTTCTCTGGGCGCTTAATATCTTCCTTTGGTTGGCTTTCTGATTTATGCTTTTCAGCTTCTTCATTTTGGCTGGGAAGTTGTTTTTGCTGTTCGGCTTCTTTTTCTTTCTCTCTATCGCTTTTACTTGAACTGCCATGCATCTCCGGAAGAGTAAGTTTATCCAATTGATATGGATCGAGGTATTCAATGTAATTAATATCAGCGTGTGTGAAGTATTGGTCAAGAATAGCAGAAGGAGTAGGACGCTTTTTAGGATTAAAGCGAAGCATTGCGAGCAGAAGGTTAATAATCTCGTGGTAATTTTTAGGAATTGTTTTTTCTAAGTAAATTTTGAGGTTTGATGGTGGAGGAAATTGCGATAAGTGTGGTTGTATCATTCTCCAAAGATCATATCCCATAAAACGTGATTCTTCTGACATACCGCAAATTTTGAAAATTCTAATTAATTGTGCAAGCTCATTATTAGTATCTTGTGTATAAAACAGAGGCTTCTTTGTGATGATCTCATAAAATATGCAAGCAGCCGACCAGATATCGACTTCAATTCCATATTCAGAGCATCCGAAGAGAAGTTCTGGAGGACGATACCACTGAGTAATAACCTTTGATGTGAAGCGCTTATTTAACATTATATCTCGAGCTAAGCCAAAATCTCCCAATTTGAGAACATTATTTTCAGTAATAAATAAATTGGCTGGCTTTAAATCGCGGTGGATAACCCTTTGCGTGTCAAGATATCGTAAGCAAACCATAAGTTGAAATTGTATGCATTTTATGAAACGTTCTGAAAGATGAGGTGCGTTTTTGCGATGAAGAAGAGCACTTAAATCATATTGACAATATTCTAAAACAAGATAAATTGTGCCTTTGCAAATTAAAACTTTTTGCAATTTAACGATGTTTTCGTGGTTTAATTTTTGAAGCAAGCGAATTTCTCGAAGTGTTGTTTTAGTGAATCCGTCTTCATCTGTAACCTTTTTGATTGCTTTTAAAGCAACCGGTTTATTTGTGGCTTTATCTATACATTTTGACACCGTGGCGTACGTTCCTTTGCCAATATTTTCAACGAATGTGAAATGGTCCTCAATTGATGAAATTTCGCTAACGTCAAAGTCAATATCATTCAATTGAGTCATCAACAATAAATTTATATAAAGATTTTTCCAAGAATACAATTATCATTGTATGAGATAAATATTATACAATTGTCCCCGTAACATATAAAATTAGGCGGGAAAATTTGTGAGCAAAACCGATTTTTTCTTATTCCAAACACAGAAGGTAGAAATGCTTTAAAATCCGATTACCACTATGCTTTCCTGGATATAACTAATCCAAATATTATCTTATCATGCGAATTGTTAATTAATTTGGAAATTTTTCCTAATTGTTTACTTGATCTACTTTCAGAGTTGTCTAAGTTATGCATACATAGTAGTAAAATGGCCGATTTATGCTGTTGCAGCCTTCAATTTAATATCATTATACAATTTATTGAAAGATTTTGCATATACATTCAATTTTTTCACCCGATTATAAAGCAATTTCAGTAGTTTGGGTTATAAGCATTATCCTATTAGATTCCGACTTTTCCTAGAAATTTTGTTTGTAAACTATGAAAAAATTTACATGTCAAAAATTTATGCTCCCTACTAAGGGAGCTCTGCCTTATGAACCTCTATCAGATAATACGGATGAATTTTCTCGATGGAAGCAGAGCAGGCGGAGAATTATAAAAGAAATAGATAAAACAATATTAAATCAAACAGATGAAGAACTTAAAGAATTTGTCGATAACTGGCTTGAAATTGCAAATGATCATAAAGAATTTGTTGATCCTCTATCTATTTTGAAAGGTTTAATGCACTTATCTGTATACTATCATTATCATCATGATTTTACTTCGATTCAGATTTTAGTTCCGATCGTAAACAACTTCGTTTCACATCCAAAAAGATGTATAGCACGTGTTGCTACTAGAGTACTTTGGTGGCTTGCTGAAGATTCTACAGAAAATATCGACTTTTTTCATTCGATCGTGTCAGAAGTTCCAAAATGGCTAGAAAAGCCTTTAACAGATCAACTATTCTACTCTAGTCTATGTATTTTGCACAATGCATATGGTTATGCTGATCAATTAGTAAATGGATTCGTAACTCAAGCTTTTCCTCAAATTATGCATGCTACCTTTTGTGATGATAAAGAATTGCAACACATTACGCTCTCGGTTTTGAAGCATCATCTTATGAGTCAAAAACCGAAGGATTTAGATCGATGGTTTAACTTCTGTATAGAACAACTCAATTCACAAGATCCAAATAAGTTCAAAGGAGCTCTCAGAGTTACAGGTTTCTTCTTCGAATTTAATTATTTTACAAATACAGAACCAATTTTAAAAGTCTTAATGAACCAAGTTAACAAATCAATGGCAGATTCTATTGTAGAGTTCCTTTACAACTTATCAAGGCTAAATCTCATTGATTACAACAAATGCCATTTTTATTATTTATTTTTAAGTTTATTATTTACATCAAATCCATTATTGATATCTATTATGGAAAAATTGCCGAATAATCATCCTCCAGAACTAGAAAACGTTAAAATTCTCAATGGAAAAATTGATACTCCATTTTTATATGGTTTAGTATCAGTTATCTGCAAGAAATTCCCATTTTATCATAACAGATTCATTATCGTTCACGATCCAACGTTTTCTAAGGAATATCTCAACTTATTAAGAAATAATATGGAATATCGATTTACAGTTCATCCAAAACTCTCTCAATTCTGTTTATCGCAATTATCACAACCTACATCAGAAGCTAACACTATTACAGCACTCAGAATTGCGAAGTATTTCGGTCATGTAATTTTTAATAAGACAGAAACGCAGCTAATCGACCAAATCCTCAATTTATTGCATAGCGATAACGAGACAATAAGAGTTGCCGCAGCAAAAGCGATCAAACAGAACGGCGTCGGGATATCAAATCCATATTTACTCAGAATTGCGTTATTTGATACATCAGCGCGCGTAAGATTGGCTGCAATCAAGAGATTAAGTATTACAGACGAGATATTAGAGTCAAGAAGCACTGCTCAACTATTAAATGATGCAGATGTCGATGTAAAGCTTGCTGCGCTTAAATTTGTTGAAGAAGCGGCATCGCAAAATCCTATACTCTTCTATCCCGAACTTTTCAGGTTCGTTTCTCAATGCCTTGAAACGTTTTCCGGAATGAAAAATTTTATTGAGATCGCAAACTATTCGAAACTGTTTCCAATCATCGCCAAACTAGTTGTAGACAAATACCAACCATTTATCCCGCAGCTAGCTCAGTTCTGTTTGTTGTTTTTGAGTAGAGGATCTGTTTTTTCGCATAATTTAGACTATTTTGTCGAAGATGAGAACTTAATTCCACCATGCGAGCGGAAACCATCACTGCGAGGCGAGATATTCGGTTCTTTGTACTCTAGCCACATAGATGAAAGAGATTGTAATTTAATCAAAACTTTGAAAATTTTGTCACCTTTTATGGAATCTTATGCTGATGTAATCTTCGAAATTATAGGTGGAATGATCATAAACACCAAAACTAAAGACATTGTGCTCATTTCTTGCGTTAATTGCCTCAGAAGAAATATAATTCATATTCCGATCGAAGATACATTCTCGAATCGATTCCCTCCGTTAACGAACAGATTATTTAAGATCCTTTCTACAACTCTCAATGAGAAACTCGCGATTAAAATCATGAAATTATTCGGAAATGCGGGAGTTTGCTCATTGCCGAACTATCAAGAAGTATCTGATGCGACATTTGCTTTCGTTGATGTCGATAAGAAGGATTTCGTTATCAATGCTTTGCTAGATGCCATTACAAAGAATATTGATTCTCATCCTCCCTCAGTTTTCGATGTTGTTAAGTCTGCATATCGTTATGAGCCTAATGCAGCCATAAAGTACACTCAGAAGATCATTCCGAGCATCATTCTAGCATTAAAGAAGTCAACTATCGAACAAATTGAGCATTTGTTCTCAATTTTATCAGAAATAACATTGATAATTGGCCACAGAATGGATGAGTATGCGGAACAGATCTGTATTTTGATCAGAAAGTACTTGACATCGAAAAATGCAACAGAATGTTGTATTTCTTTATCATATGTCCTGAATTCCAGCTTATCGCCATACATGCCACCAATATTCTTTGATGCAATTAACTTAGTTATTAATCATCAAAGCGGAAACTACAAATCTCATTTTAAATTGCTTGCTTTCAGCGTTTTATACCAAAACCAGCCTTTACATTTATTCATAAAGGCCTGCGAAAGCTGCATTCACATCAATCCAAAGATTGTTGTGCGAGAAATGTGCAGAATTCTGCAAAACAGCGTTGTTGCATCGTATTTCGGATCGAGTATGTGGAGAATAGTCAATTACTTGATACCATGGACCAGAGAGCTCTGTTTGCAATTATTATATTCTTTGATTTTATTTAAAGGAATAACAGACGAACAAGCCAAGATTGTCATCAAAAATGCCAGCATTGTTGACGAAAACCTCGATATTTTGCTCAAAATGACTCCAGAACAAAGAATGTTGAACGGAATTCCGGATTTCGTCAAACAAAAGAAGGCAAAAGTCGAACCGCAGTTCATGCATGTTAAGAATCTCACAACGAACCAAGTTGCAAGCTCATTTAAGAACAATAATCCTACTAATACAGTTTTTTCTGAAGTTAAGTCACCTTTGACGACCAGTTTGACCAGTTGGCAGATTGATTTGAGTAACAAGACAGTAACAAGGTCTCCAAACAACGTTATCCGCGATTCCCAAAAACTCATCATTGATTCAGAGTATTTACGAGGCAAAATCCTTCCTATTGCCTTTCTTAGTTGTTTTCTGAACACTTCATCTGACCAAAAAGAAGTTTTTCTGAAACAATTAAACGATTGTTTTTCATTAGGCCAAAAAATCAACTCCAGTATCTACAAAATCATTGATTTACTTGAAATGCTTGGCTACAATCACATTATTGAAGACAAGAAACTCGCAGAGAACTCAAGTTCCCCTTGGAGATCAATTTTTTATTGGCGACGATTATTTATTAATAATTCCGAGATGGATTTAGAGCCGATGTTAGACAAAATGTACAAAATGGGCCGTATGATGACAATCAGGGGTATTCTTGACATGTCCAACAACAATTTGCCTCCAATGAGATTGGCGTATTGGAGAGAAAGAGTTTTGGATTTCGAAGGATCCTTGAAAATCTACGAAAACGAAAATTCTCTTCCAAACGTCATAAGAACAATTTCTTTCATGGAAAGATGGGATGAAGTCCGCGAATTATATAATAAATTCGAAAAAATGGACGATAACGATAAATCTTTGACGAGTTCTGCTTTTTGTTCATCATTTTATTATGATAACCAACTTGACATTGCAGATAATCTTTTGAAGTATTTTCCTAAGAGCGAATCCCTACGAATTGGCTTTGTTCGGATCATTGTTTTGATAAAAGAAGGAAAATACGAAGAAGCGAAAATTTGTATAATGAATAAATTCAAACATCTCGTTCAAAACAGGGAAATTTATTCAGGAACAAATGTTCACATGGCTCTTCGTTATTTAATATACGGACAACATTTGTCTGAATTATCCGATGTCATTAAAATTAAACAGAACACGGATAATAACATGAAACACCTAAATATGATTTGGACAAGACATCTTAATAATTTCAGAGGAAAGGGAAGAGACTGGAGAGAATTATCTGATATAAGAAATCTCTTGAAAACAGATAAATCAAATGAAGAAGAAACAAAAGAAGAAGAAGAAAAATCTTCAGAAAAAACAGAAGAAGAAAAATCTTCTGATTATTCCGATGACCAAATAATTATTTCTCCTTTCGCAAAGGCAAGACAAAACTTGTCAAGGACTTCTTTCACAACAAAACAAATTGATGAACCAGAAATTGCTAATTCCCCTATTGTTTGTACTTTTCAAACAACATCAAAAGTTGGATTGTCAAATTTGACACAAAATTTGTCATTTTGCCAAAATTTGACAAAAGAAAAAACATCACCATTAGCGAAATCTCCGAAACAGCCAATGAAGAATTATTCTCCTGACAAAATGTCAAAATTAAGTAGTTTTTACATGACAAATGCCAAAAATAAAATGTCAGAATTTAAACCATCAGAAAATTTAACGACATATGAAGGAATTCCGAAACTTCCTGCGAAAGAAGAGAAGCCTAAAGATCTCCTTATATCAGATGTCAATTTGAAGATGGCTGTTGCATTGAGGAAAGACAGACAATGGAATATTCTCAGTGGAATTCACAAGAGAATTGCGAAAGAAAGTTTGTCACATGACATTTTCCTCGAAAGAATCAAATCTCAATGGGCGAAAGGAAAAAGAGAAATTGCTCTTAACAAGATTGAATATCTGTTAAAGTGCTATTTATCATCACCAAAGGATTTGCCAGCAATCATCAAACAAATGCCAGATTCGGCTCAAAATGATTTTAAATCAATTTGGAAATCTGACATTTTACAAAAATGGCAAAAATTTTTGACATCGAACAAACCAAGTCCAATGATAATTGCGCAGACAATCAGAACTGTCACGTCATGGAGAATAAGACAAGGATTATTAACAAACAAAGAAGAAATTGAAAAGAATTGTAAACTTCTCAATTCTGCAATTGAAAACGACAAAACAAACAAAAGAGCTTATTTCAACTACGGATTCAGTCTGATGCAGTTACTCTTAATACAAGAAAATCATGATAATAAAGATGTAAAAAGTGACAATAAAAGTGACAATAAAAGTGACATTGCTTTTCAATGTATCACTTCACTTTTGCATTGTCCAAGTTTGCCAAGCATGAGTTTGTTTACTTGGCTTGTTACTTTCTTGGATGACAAAACTGCTCAAAGAATTGATTTGACAAAATTCAAATCAGAATTTTTGGTAAAATTGTTACCAAGATTTGTTGATTTGTTGTCGAAAGACAAGTCCAGTTGCAGGTCTATTGCGAAGATTGTCATCACGAGGCTGTCTTATGATTTCCAGAAAGTTGTTTTTCCTTTGCGTTCGAAAATTCACGTGAAAGAAGTTTCGGAGATTTTGTTGAATCTTTGCAACAGTTCTGAGAAGAATTACAAGATAAATGTCGATGCAGGATCATTGATAAATCTCTTGAAAATGAAATCTTCTTCCAAAAAAGAAAAGGCAGAAAAAATTGTTGAAAAATTGTTGAAAGATCAAAATTCAGAAATTGCCATAAAACGAAACATTTCTGAATTAGAAAACCTCATCAAAGATGACATTCCTGATGACGTAACATTTGATGTTCGGACCATCCTTAATTTGATGAACAGTGACAGTCAAGAAAAATTTATTGACATCGACAAAATTCTCGAAAAAATGAGAAATTATTTGAGTAAAAACAACAAAGGACAGTTTTTGAGCCAAAAAGAAACAGACGTCAAATGGAGATCCTTCTGTGTAAGTGTTCCAGGAGTACCAACAACATTAATAGAATCAGTTTCTCCAGTAATAAATGTTCTTCAAACTCCAAAACGCCAAAGAGTTGTTGAAATGGTTGGTGATGGAATGAAATTCCGATTTTTGTTGTTTGCTAATGATCTTTATGACGATGAAAGGTTCTCCATATTCGTCGATGTCATCAGATCTATGTTTGTTAAGGATGAAAGTTTCGTTGATTTCGCTCCATTTTGTCCGAAAATCTTTCCACTTTGCGAAGATTGTGGATTGATAAAAATCAACGGAATGACCGAAACAATTGAAGAAATCATGACTTCTTTCTCTGCAAAGAGAAAACATGAACGAGAAATCGCTGATGAACACTTAGGATTGACAAGATTTTCGACATTAAATAAAATACAAAATATCGAAATCTTCAAAAAACTAAGTGAAAACAGTTTGGGCGATGAATTGCTTGAATCCATTTGGAGAGCAATGCCTGCTGTTTCTAAATGGGTAAGGACAGGAGATAAGATAACAATGAGCTATGCAAGTAACTCTATGTTATGCTACGTAATGAGAATCGAAGACAGAAATCCTGGAAATATTCTGATAGAAAAAGATTCAGGAAATGTTTGTTTGATTGATTATTCATCAATCTTTAGTAAAACAAAAGAAGAAAAAGTTAAGTTCAGAATGACAAAATGCGTCCGGAATCTGATGGATGGAGCAAATCCTTTCGGAATGTTCCAGTTTTCGTGTGAAAAAATTATGGAATTTTTATGCGAAAAAAGAGTTTTGATTATGAGTCAATTGAAAGTTTCTTTCCCTGAAAACGAAATGATTCCATACGATGACATTGACAGGAGAATGCTCGGTATTGACAGAGATGTTGATGATGAAACAAGAAATGTTAGAGACATGGTTTCTAAACTGATCGAAATTTCATCAGAAAATACAAATATCTATTCAATGAATTTTGAATGGAAACCATACTGGTGAATTTTATAAAAAATATCTATTTTTATGTTTTATTATTGGTAATTTTTTTTCCCTCGATATTTGTCAAAGCATCAAAAATTAAAGATGGTAAACAATAATTAGGATTATATAAGATTTGGCGCATTTTTGGGGCACTATGTCATTTGCAGAATTAGAAATTAGTACACTAACTGTTGCTTGTGCATCTTATACAAGCTCTCAAATTTAATAATTTTTTTCTCGGTGAAGGAATCATCAGAACTACATAGTAAGGCCGTTTGATTCGCTGTTTAGATATAATTATGCGCCATATTTCTGTATCAAAATTTAATCCTAAGTAATAATAAATTTTAATCAACCCAATTTTGAGCTGGGTTCACATTCAATTTTCTGAAGTTTACAAATTAGAAAAGAAACATAGGCTCAAAATAGAGTTAATTAAAATCCTAATTTTCGAATTTTGTCAAGCTATCAATTTTCTTCAAGAGCTAGCCCTATTTTGTTAAAATTGAAACTTTTCGTTTCAATCTTCGAAAATTTACACTTTTCCAACGTTTTGTTATCATCTTCGGAAAAGTGTAATTCTCAGGCATATTATTATTTTTTGCACTTAATGCCGAACAGCATTTGAATCAAAAATAATCGTATGTCCGAGAATTATTAATTTCAGCTATTCTCAATTCATGAAATCTAAAGTGGCTTTTGCCTCTTTGTACATCTATGAAATAGTTTACAATTTTAACAAAATAGGGCTAGTTCTTGAAGAAGATTGATAGTTGACAAAATTCGAAAATTAGGATTTTAATTAACTCTATTTTGAGCCTATGTTTCTTTTCTAATTTGTAAACTTCAGAAAATTGAATGTGAACCCAGCTCAAAATTGGGTTGATTAAAATTTATTTCAGAAAAAAAAATTATGAAATAAAAAAGTTTAATAAACTTAAAGAGAAAAATTGGGAGTATGAAAATAGGTTTACATAGATATGATTTGAGCAGATATTTATACATTCAAGAAGAGTGATCTTGAATGCACCATCACCGAGATGTCCGTGAACATAGGATACAAAGCTGTTTGTTTTCGTTGATGAATAATTTGGAAGTAGTTCATCACCTGAGAGCATTCGAATATTTGTGAAAAAGAGTCCTGAGTAGTGTACAGTACCATTAAATGAGATACTATTTTGGAGAGAATAATTTCTCGAAACACTAACATATCCATTACAACCTGACACATACGAAGAACCTCCTGCACCAGATCCGTGTTTATTGTGAGTTACAGATGCCCCACCTCCTCCAAAATAACCGGATCCCCCACCAGAGAGTGAATATTCACTTGGGGAACTATTTCCTCCCATTCCAAACATACCATCTTGCCCATTTGCAAATCTATTTGAAGTTAAACCTGCTCTTCCTCCTTTTGTTTGATTACCTCCTTTGGCATCAGTATACCTTTCATTATTTGTACCGTGATACGGGTGACTTCCATCTCCTCCAATAAGGTTTCCTCCATGGCCACCAGTACCGTTTAATGGATTGGGATTACCTTCTACAACCAATCATCAATCAGAAAGTGTTCGTATAAAATTATTTGTTTATGTTAAATCGTCATATTAATACACTCTAAAACGTGATGAACAAAATATCAGGTTTAGCTATTTTAAATTTGAATAGAATATCTGTTACATTCGCGATATTTTAAAAAATGTAGGTGCATTTCATACATAATATCAAAATTGATGCTTCAATGATTTCTGAATATAAATAATGCATTATGTCAATGAAGCCATGCTATATTAAACATTTTGAACCACATGAAATATGTTCAATTTTTTCTTCATTAAGAGGGATATTCTCATCTTTATCTTTTTCTTCATTAAGAGAAATTTTCACATTTTTATCTTTTTCGACAATATATGCACCATGCGAAAGAAGAAGATTAGCTATTTTTTCATAATTGTTATCTATTGCATAATTAAGAGCGGTATTTTCATACTCATCTTTTTCATTTAAATTTGCACCATGTGAAATAAGAAATTCGACTGTTGCTTTATTATTATTAATCACTGCATAATGAAGAGCTGTTTTACCTGTTGCATCCTTTTCATTTATACTTGCGCCATGTGAAATAAGAAGTTCGACTGTTGCTTTATTATTATTAATCACTGCATAATGAAGAGCTGTTTTACCTGTTGCATCCTTTTCATTTATACTTGCGCCATGTGAAATAAGAAGTTCGACTGTATCTTTCTCAAAATATTTTACAGAAAAATGAAAAGGTGTTCTTCCATAATCATCTTTTTCATTGATATTTGCGCCATGTGAAATAAGAAGTTCAACAATTTCTCTTCGATTTTTCTCAACTGCTTCAAAAAGGTGTGTTTTCCCATCTTCAACTTTTTCATTGATGTTTTTACCATATAAAAGCAGTAATTCTACCATATCTTTATTATTGCAAAATATTGCTTTATGAAAAGCTGTTTCTTCATTATATTTATCATTGATATTTGCCCCATGTGAAAGAAGAAATTTAACTACTTCTATACTATTATTTGATATTGCCTTAAGAAGAGTTCTACTATAATAAACAGCTCCAAGTGAAAAAAAATATTCGCAAAGAGAGGGAATATCAAATACTGTAGAATAATATAAGCCACCGTAAAGAGCATCATGCTGATCAAAATATACTAAAAATGCATCAAGATTATTATGCTCTTCACAATAACTTAATTTGATCTCTATTTGATGTTCATTTATTAAGTATGAAATAAAATCAATGTTGTGCGAAGCAATTGCATATTTCATGCATGTGTCGTTTGGTTTTTCATATTTCAAACATTCACTCATGATCTCTTGATTCCCTCCTAAAAATGATAATTCTAGACATGTTTTAGTTATTTCTGATTTAAATTTGGTTCTTAATAATTTGAAACATAATTCAAGTAATGAGTATCCTTCATCAGAATATGGATACAAGCAGCTGTAAAGTATTTTATTTTTATAAAATCCTTCTCTTTCAATGGATGTAATGAATCTTTCTTTATCATCATTCATAATTGACCTGAAAATTGTAGCTTCTGAAAAAATATCAAGATGTTTGAATTCATTTCTTTCGAAATCATCAGAAGTATTTAATTTAATTCCATATTCTTTATAAAACAGGTAGTTAGAAACGATCGGAATGTTGCTGACCTCGGTTATATGATAATCATCAGAGATTTGTTTTGTAAGTTCCAAGTATGACTTTGCATAGCGGTTGTTATACGGGATGATATTTAAAATATCTCTCATAACATTTCGGGAAAGTGTTTATTTGAATCAATCAAATTTGTTTTGATCATTTTGTAAATTGAGTGTAATTCATCTTCATTGTTCGTTTTCAGCTGATATAGAGTAATATATGAATCGATATAATATTTGTAAATACTTCTCAATTCACTATATTTCTTTGGAACAATCTTTTGATGAGACATAAAAAAGTATGCGGTTCGGCCAAACGAAAGTTATCGTTAAAATCCGAAATTTCTATTCTGAAATTATTGATTATTTTACATTCAATTACAAAAACTTAAAGTTAAAAATTGGTTTTAATTGAGTATAATCCAAACGATGCATTCAATGGCCTGATGGACTATATTGACAGCATATCTGATGATAGAATGAGATATCTTTATTATGAATCTTCACCAGGGCAAATTTCACCAGAACAATTGTTTTATTATCGAAATGGGCATTCTTATGCATCAGGTGAAAATTCAGGTGAGTGTTATGTCGGGTTCTACTTAAAAAAACACATATTTGAGATTAGATCATTTTCAATCCTTTCATCTGATAATTCAAGAAACTCAAATGTTCATCCATTAACATGGAAACTTATTGGTTCTGTTGATGATCAGAACTGGTTTGTTATAGATTCACGTACGAACGATAATTCAATTAATGGAAACTTTTTAACAGCTCATTATGATTTCTCAGGATATCTTGTTCGACATTTAAGATTTGTAACGCCCAAAGCTTTTGCTTTAAGACATTTAGAATTTTTTGGGAATCTATACCCATATCACGCAAATGATTCATCCTGTCTTGCAAAATGTTACTATTGCCAAATTATAAGTTTATGGCTCATGGCAATACCTGTTTTATTATGATTTATTTCATAAAATATTGTTTTTAAATTATGATATACTTTATTTCCATTTCCCCTATAATATCTGCATCTAGTTTTTTTTTTGTTGCATGCTAAGTTCGGTCAACGATAGAAATTGAGTGGAAATTAATCGTCGAGGAAGTACGATTATGTAAAGTAAAAAATGTTGTGGGATTTTTAATATTATATATTATTTTATAATAAAATTTTTTGAGTCATTTTAAGAAGCACATATAATTTTTTGAATTTAAAAATTAAAGTAGTGTCAAACGAATTTATCACTTAATTTAATACTCAGATTTCTTAAAATTAATGAAAAAAAGGTTTTCTGAGAACTTTTGAGAATGGTTTTCAAATTCCATTATTGAAAATATATAGGTATTGTATGAAATTCAAACTCTATATTTATTAAAATTCTAAATTTTTAATAAAATAACTTTTCAGAGGAATATGATTTTGAATGGTTGATTAATAAGTATAAAAATGTCTACGATTTTAAGGAGGGAATTGTTCCTTATAAGGTATACATCATCACTATATACCTCATAAGGAACAATTCCCTCTTGATAGCTGGGAAACTTTCTCTGAATAACTTATCATTTGGAGAAAGTTTCCCAGCTATCTATTAGAAACTAAAGGCTATGAGGCACTAATATATAATCAGTGCCTCATAGCCTTTAGTTTCTTATTAAAACGAGAAAACTTGTTCGAAATGATAAACAATTTCGAACAAGTTTTCTCGTTTTAAGGAGGGAATTGTTCCTTATGAGGTATACATCATAACTATATACCTCATAAGGAACAATTCCCTCTTGATATCCTGGATATTTTTGAATATATTTTTTTAATTAAAGTTCTCAAAAGTATTATCAAAAGTGATTTTTTAAAAAATATCTCCAATTAATTAACTAATTAAAAGTATTATATTTTTAAAATTAAATAGTTTTTCAATTTTTTTGAAGGAATTGAGATACTTCCCACGACAATAAAATTGAGAGGTTTACATTATGACTGATCTTAGCATGCAACATTTTAGAAGTGCTTCAACCATAAAGCAGGCAATATCGGACTTTTTTTCTAAATTTCTAGGTAATATGTGAAATTACTGCTTTCTGACATTCTAATATTAGATTTGCAGATAATTATCGTAAAAGAGAACACTTTAGTTAGTTACGTAATGGTGTATCTTCCACTTCTGACACCTTACAACTATTACATTTTAATTTATTTTTTAATATTTCTCATATATTCTTCAATGTATATGAGGTGTCAAATGTTGTTTACAACTATTATGTATGTGATATTTATTTTTTTGGAAAACAACGTTTTAGTTACTTGTATAGTTATCTCAATATTGATGTTTGAAAAAAAATTGAAGAATATAAGAGAAATATTAAAAAATAAAGAGAGAATTTTATTATTCCAAGCTAGCGATATTGTCAGAGATTGAAACTCTTGTTTTCGGTGTATCATCGATATACGCATATTCTTCTTGTCTCACGAGCATTCCTTCCTCGAAGTTTGCCAATCTAGAAGAAATTCTGTTGCTGATTGTTTTTCCTTTTTCTGGAGATTTTTCGAAAGCGTCTGTTTCGAAACAAACAGGACATTTCGTTCTAGAAGTGCACGCTCCATGGAAAATGTGTCCGCAAGGGAACAAAGTAACATCCAAACCTTCTGTAAGAGATTTTCCGCAAAGATCGCACTTACGACCTTCGAATTCGACACCTTTTGTCGATGCTTCGATATATTTGTTATACGCATCGGCTTCATTCTCCATAATTAAGTTAGTTAAGGCTGCAGAAGTGTCGACATCGTAAGAATAATCTTTGACTAATTCTCTGATAGTGGATCTGATCAATCCGATCGATAATTCGCCATATTCACCAACAATAGTGGTCAGTAATTCATCGAATGGAACAAATGCGTAACCGGCAATGCAGAATAATTTGAGATTATCCTGCAAAGGCTTGATATCTAAGCCTGCCTGGTTAGCAGCATATATCGGGATGGCCCAGTTCCTTGCAATGGACTTAACTGCGTCGGCAAATGCCTTTTTAAGATTATCATCAGGAGTTCCTTGGTTTCTATCGAACAATTTAACGAGGAATGTTAAGTTGTTCTGGAGCTTTTCAACATTATCCTTCTTGTCGACGTATCTCATGGTCATTTCGTCGAAATAATTTGTTATATCAGTTGCAAACTTGCTGAATAAGTAAGTTGTCTTGGAATCAATGATCGCACATGCATCATTGATTTTTTCCTTGCGACAAATCTCTTGGAATTTGTCCGGATTCTTCTCTTTGTCAATGAAATCGCGAACTTCGCTTGGATAGTACTGGCAAAGGAAGTTTATGTATCCGGAGGAGTATTCATCTGGTATCTTGGCAGTCTCTGTGGTCTTAAAGAACTCTCTGATGAAATAATTCTTCATTGAACTGTCTTTTATGCCATTTACTAAACGTTTGTCGGGGAATGATTGCTCTTTACCATCTTCTGGTGCAAATACGACCTTCACGAGTTGGATCAGTTTAGTAATATCTTTAGATACAAGTAAATCAATGTTTTGTATGATGGCTTCCTGGATTTTAGGCCTAACTGTGGGTTGGTTCTTGAACATTGTCATTATATCTGCGAAGATATCGCTCTTTATGCTATTTTGTTCAAGAATATGAAAAGTTATTAACTCAGAAACCATTTCTGATGCAAGGAGGATCTCGTGTTTGGCTTGTATAAATCCATAGGACTCGCAAAGTGGAATAAGTTTCTTCTTAAATTCAATTGGAATTTTTTCCAATTTTGTAATTTCATGTAGAAGGTCAATGAAGGTGGATTTATATGGAGGATCTTTTTTCATCTCTTCGCTGAAGATCAAAGGTAATAAAATGTTGAGGGATGTTCCGAATAATTCCATTCCTTTCTTTCTCGTGAATTCTACAACAATCTTGAAGAGATCATGGTCGGCTGGGAGCTTTGCATCACTAATAGCTATGATAACAGCGTTTACGAACTGAGCAGGGGGAATTATTTTAGTTTCCAAAACAGTTTCCATAATTGTTCGGAGGAGCGTAGCCACCAAACCTACTTCTTGTTGAACAATGGATGTTAATCGAGGGAAATGAGCACCATCCTCTGAGATTGCAAGCAGCCATTTGATTATATTTGTTGGAATTTCACCTTGAAGACGCTTTTGGCAAGTCTCAACGATAATTTCATATTTATTATTGCATGCAAGAATATTCAATGCTGAAATAACATCATCAAGACGCTCAAGATAAATCTTATACATTAATTCAACGTTGTTATTCTTACAAGCCGAACTTAATATCATCGCTGTTGGAGCAATAATGTCAGGGAGTCGGAGAACGAACTCGTTGAAGCCTTCCAGATCTTTTGTTTCTAAGAATTTCTGAACAAAAGGTTTTTTGTAAACAAAATACTTAGCGTCTGGATCGGCCTTCATAATTGCTTGGAAATATTCATTTATAGCGCCGGCATTTTCAAATGGGACCATAAATTCGTTTGTGATCGCATTTTTCATTGACATTGACTTCATTCTAGTTATCATGTCATCCATGATCACAGAAGCCTTTGATACATCGTTTGTTAGGTCTGCTGCGCACTTTTGGACCAAAATTCTGGATAATTCTTTTTCAATTTGCAATCTTCTGTAATCTTCGTTCTTTGAGAGGCCAATGATGGACCATGGATCACCATTATATGCTTTGCTGCAATATTCGCATGCTGCATCTGGATTTTTCTCGAGATTTGATATATGATCTCGAAAAGCAAGCATTTTTAGCTTGTAAATCGATTTATTGTTGATGCAATAGATAACATCTGTTGATGGTATGTAAATACCAGTCATTGTATCCATTATTTCCGATTTATTGTTGATTGTATCAATAATTATTGCTTTTGCTGTTGTTTCTTCAGCTGTTGTCTCTTTTATGAAGGCAACGATGGTATCTGATAAGAATGAAATAAGTTTAGGTTTAAATGGAAGCTCAAATTTCGATTTTTCTGTTGAATGATCTTGATAATCGTAAATTTTTCCGTAGAATTTATCTCCTTCTTGTTCAACAGTAGCAAAATTGAATGAAGATTCGGATATCGATCCAAAGGCGAAGAGACCAATGGTTTTAATGCTAAATAAAAGTGGATTTTTTTCTCCTAGCTTGTAGAATGTAACATTTTCATTGGAAAGAGCGCAAACGATATTCTGTAATTGAGGATAGCAGATTGTTTTGCCTTTGAAGATCGGAGGAACGTATAATTTGTTAATATGATTTTCCGGTTGCTCAAAAATTGGTTTATCCTTCTTAGCTACAAAGCTGGATAATTGGTTCAAGGCACCCAATGATTTTTTATATACTCCTGGGCCATTTGAGAAGATATAAGTTGTAGTATCGATGAATTCAATTGATTTAATTTCGCCGAGCTTGGGTTCGATTACACTTGCAGTCAAATCAGATTTCCGACTTGCAAAAACAGAACTGAAAACAGCGATTTTCCCGTCGTCATATCCAACACAACTGTTTGTTTCATCAGGAGAAATAGCAAAGCATTTTGGAACACCTGTTACTTTCTTGTCAGTGTAGGTTGATGTTTGAAGGTTGGAAAATTTGAAAAAGTTGATTTTATTTGAAGGTTCGCTATATAAAAAAGTATCGCCTGCGATGATAGCTCTTGATATCTCATGTAATTCACTTATTTGAATTTGTTCTTCTTGTAGTAATTTATCATCTTGCAAAGTCATTATTTAAAAAAAAATTGAAAGATAAAAAAAAATCTATCTTTTATTCTATTGATTATCGGCGTGGAGCACCAAATAAAGATTTTGATATTCAGATCTAATAGCTGGGAAAAGATCCATTTATGAATAACCTATAACTTTATATGTAATTACAAATATAATTAAGCAAGATTTTAAAATTTTCATGCTATGTTTTTAATATTGCGAATGGACATGCGTGTGTTTCCTGCGATGGAATAGATATGAGAAACAATGGATGGTATTTCAAATTAATATACATCAAAGTTATAAGATATCTCGAATAAATAAAAATTGGTTGGGAAAGTGATCTGTATGGTCCATACATTATGGAATAGAACCTCTTAAAACACAGATTTAATGTTAATTTAAGAGTTTATTAATCAATAAAATATATCGATTTTGTTAGCTCTGTTGGACTTTTTTCCTATCCCCAACTTGATCTTATAGTGGCATCCAAAGATTTGCAGGTGTATCTATGAAAATTCATTAGATCCAAGTGAGGTGAACTGGAGTTTGAAGAAAAATTAAAAAAAGGTAGTGGGGCTTCCAGGCGCGTTGCGCCCTCTAGCCCTGAAGATGTTTAGTATAAATGAAGTTTATATTCGGAGGGCTTCCAGGCGCGTTGCGCCCTCTAGCCCCGAAGATGTTTAGTATAAATGAAGTTTTTATTCGGAGGGCTTCCAGGCGCGTTGCGCCCTCTAGCCCCGAAGATGTTTAGTATAAATGAAGTTTTTATTCGGAGGGCTTCCAGGCGCGTTGCGCCCTCTAGCCCATAAAAAATTTCTGAGGACGAGCCAGCCGGTGACTTTTTTGTAGAGCACTCAAAATAGTATAACTTTGTCCGGACAAGTAAGGGTCTATCGTCGCTACAGGAAAAGTTACAGGCGTTCCAAGGAAGTATACTTTGAGAAGCCTTTTCCCCCTTATAGAATGAGATAAGACGGTTATTTTACAAAACTGACAACACTTTGACCGAGTAGTTTTTTGAGCTGAACAAAAAGTGTCATATAAACATCTGTCAAAAACCGTTTTTTACTTCACTTAAAATGCCACGTAAGCTACGTAAGAATATACGTAAGAGGAAGGGAGCATTGAAACATCCAATAGTAAAACTGACACCACAACAACAGTTGCAACAACAAATGATGAATGACCCCACTATGTTGCAACAAATGTCAAGCAACCCTATGCTTTTAAACCGAGTTATTGGTGCACAGAGTGGAGGTTTAAGAGCGGCACTTTTAGCGAAAATGGCAGGCTATGGTGGAGCTGCAGACGGAACAGCTTATAACCCTCAAAGTCAAATGAATTTGAGTTCACTCAAAAATCAAATAACAGATGTCAAAAAGTCAAACATAGACATACAGAAACAAATAAGTGAAAACGAAAAGAAACTAGAATATGACAGACACACAAAGAAACTCAATGAGTTAAACGTAGAGAAAAAGAAGAAAGAAGAACAACTGAAAGAACTAAGTACAGAGGAATATGCGAAAAAAGTGTCAGAAAAAGCAGCAGAAGTAGCAAAAATGGAACAAGATGTTATAAATTTGAAAAACCATACTACTCAATATAAAGTACTGAAAGATGAAGAGATAAAACAAAAAGCCATGAAGACATATATGGATAGCGATGAGTATAAAAAAGAAGTTGAAGCAAATGTAAAGGCAGAAAAACTTTTACAGTTGCAAAACCAAACCGTACAGTATGAAAACTTAGCACAAGAAAGTAAAAATAACGACGCAGCCATGCAAAAGGCAATGAAAAGCGCAGAATATATAAAAGCTAATAATGACTGGTTAGATGCCCAAGCCAACGCTATAGCAGCCCAACTTATAGGGTCAATAAGGACAGAAATACAAGCGGATGAAGACAGTTCAAATGAAGCTTTAATGAATGCTGACTTTAAGAATGCCTTCGAAGCTCTTCATAGTAAGGTGAAACTAGTGAACGACTTCTCATCTGGAAAGAAACTGAAGTCTGAAGGTTTCGACAAAGAGTTAAGAGAAGTAGCACAAAATATGACGAAAATAACAGATGCAGCAACGAGACAGGCAGTTCAAAGTGCCTATGACGCCGTTAGAGCAACTGTTGTGGAAAGTCAAGAAAAAGAGTTACAACAGACCAAAACAGACCTAGTAAATGCTTTCTTAAAAACGAAAAGTCAGGTAGGACATTATGCTGCAGATGGAACATATGTGCCAGCTGGTGGAACTTATATACCACCAAACCCTCCAAGAGAAGCACCTGCACCAGGACTACCTAAAACATTTACATCGTCACATGGACACAGACACAGGCATGCACCAAAACCAACACAACAACCAACAGTTCAAAATCCAGCACCACAACAACAACCAAAACCAACAGTTCAAAACCCTGCACAGCAACAACAACCAACACAACAACCAACAGTTCAAAATCCAGCACAACAACAACAACCAAAACCAACACAGCAACCAACAGTTCAAAACCCTGCACAACAACAACCACAAACAGAGCAAGGACATAAAAGAAGTAGAGAAAAAGGAAACCAAGAATTCTTAAAAATGCTTAAGGAAGATTATGGTTACCCAGATACTCTTGACTTTAGTGACAGATATAAAGAAGCTATTAGAAAGTTCAAGGAAGGAAATACTGACCCGAACCTATTTAGCTTTATGGTTCAGCATAAAATCGGATATAATCTCAAACCTGGAAAATACAAGCTCGCTAAGGGATATGATTTAATAGCATATCATCCAAATGACATGAATGAATTTACTCCGAGATATTTGGTGTCAGAGCTAAATGATAATTCAACTCTCTTCATGAAACGCGTAAAAAATAGAGACGGAACGAAAGAAGAAAGGTTTATGAGTCCGGATGACTTAGATAGGGAACTTGTTAAAAACGGTCTCGGAATATATGAAATGCCAGCAGATGAGGTACAAGAAACTCAACAGGAAGAAGTTCAGATACAACCAGACATGGAAGAAATAGTTCAGCAACAACAGCTAGAAGAGCCTGAAGGAAACGAACAAATCCCTCCTTTGGAAACTAACTTCACAGAACTAGATGAAGATTTGGAACAGCCGAAAAATCTTGACCCTCAACAAGTGTATGCGGAGAATATGGAATCTTTCCAAGAGTCTAAGAAAAATTCGGCTGACATAGTAGAAGAATATCGAAAAATGTTCACCGACATACAAAAGACTCCAACATCAGATGAAAATATTCAGCATAGAATGGAAGTACTGAAAGATAATGTACGCAAATACAATAATCCTTTTTACTTACGACCATATAACGTTCAATCTTTGGCTGAACTCGGTGAAAATAAAAGGTTAAATTTCAACAAAACATATAGAAATGAAACATTGTTTAAAGTTCATTCAGAACCTAACCAATATGGAAACAAACCTACTTTTGTTTCTGCAGACTATGGAACTACAATGAGATGGGGTCATAAAGCTAATCCGGATAGGTGGTTCATAAACTTACAACCTCAATTCCAAGAAGTTGTAGACGCAATGGAAGTGAATGGTGAACCAGATATAGCTGGTATTTTCAGCGCGGCTTTAATGCCATTGAAAGATATGAAACATGCAGATATTTTGGACCAGTATGAAATGAACATGGCTGAAGGAAATATAACACCTGACGTTCTAGAACATTTATCTCAAAGAACTACACAGAACCATAAAGATGGTATATTTGGTGAAGAGTTTAGAAAGAAAGTTAGGGAGAGAGAAGGAAGAGAACCTATTGTACATGACCTTGCAAACGAAAGTTTGCAAAATGTCATAAAAACTTACTTTGCAGACAATGAACTGAGAAGGGATGAATATTTAAGAAAACTCAAATGGACAGTACCAAATGAAATGTTAGTATTGAAAAACATGTTCCATGACAAAATAAAACCAACTACAGAAATAAATGACGCAAGACTGAAACGTTGGGTAAAAGCTTTCCCATTCACAAAAGATATTATTGGTTACATGGAAAGAAAACCAGAATGGCTACAAAAACATATATTTGGAAACGAGCTTATTCCATATGGACAAGCTCTGTTTGAAGAGCTTGAACCGGAAACTCAGGAAAGAGTCATGCAAACAATACGCGAAGACTCAAATACAAACTATGACAAAATCTTTCTAGGATATAGGTTACCTGAGATGGGCGACCAGAGCCCAAAGGCAAAAAGGACATGGGAAATTTACAACATACTAGGTGAACATGAGGCAAAGATGCAACAACTTGAAGCAGAGGGCAAGTTACCAAAAGCGACACCAAAGAAGAAGAGAAGAGTAGAACAAAGTGAAAGTAGTGAAGAAGTAACTTCATCTAGTGAAAGTAGTGGCAATGAAGGAAAAAGAAGAGTTAAAAACTCAGTCAGGAAGAAAGTAAAGCTTGGTCCGAGTGGGTTCTATTATGATATATAAATCCAACTATTCTATATTTTTACCCATATGAAATGTACGCCGCTCAGAATATAACGCCAACAGTTTTGGATGCCATGAACGGAAATGTTTCCGAATGGTATAACGAATGCGACAATGCCATTAGAAGGTCAGAAATAGTTCCTGGAACTTACGAATATACAACTGCTGTTTCTTATGGAAACGTAGGTGAGTTTGGAGAAGGTTCTTCAACAACAGTAGATATTGCTTGCGACAGGTTTCATATTATTTCTATTGACAACTCATTCTTATACGTGGAACAAGACATTGAAATAAAACCTTCTGCCAAGTTGTCTGACAAGAAAGGTTGCAATGGAATTTTCTATGTCGGATACCAATATGCTCCAGAAGTTTTCATGGGATATAAGATATATTCTAACTCTGACTTAGTTCAAACAGTAACATGGGCAAACTATGAATGGTTCGCTTTGAGAAACTCAGTACAACCACAAGCTAGAGAACAAACAGACCAGTATGCAACTATTGAGAAAATAAGAAGACTTGACCCTAACGTTCCAGGAGTTTATGTTAACCTTTCTG